TCGCACTGGAAGGGGGCGCGTCGCCAGAACCCATCTGGGAAGAAATCCTAGAGAAATCACCCCAAGCTGCGAGAAAGAACACCAAAGCGCTTACCCTTTAGCTCTAGAAACCCTGGAATGGATCAAAGAGGAGGCATTTGGCGAGCGCTGGCGCGAGAAGAGCTTGGAACTTCGATCTGTGCTCCGATTGTGTGTGTAATGGCGCGCGGATGACTGTGCCGCGGACTAGGATCACAAGCGCCGCGCTGGCATCGGCAAACCTGCGCTGACTGGACCTAGGGCTTTAAGAACCCTAACTTCTGGCGGCCGTGACGTGGGCAAATTGACAGCTGGCAAACACGTGGGAAACACACATACATTTTTAGGGTTCCTGGGATTTCGTAGGGTTTTAGGAGCGCGAATGGGCATCCAGACACGATTGCTTCTGCTGCTGCTCTACATTCTGGCGCTCCACTCCCTCGCGATCTTCCTCTTCACGTCGGGATTCCTCCTCACGCGCACGGAGCTGCCGAATGTGAGCGAATGCGCGGATGCCGCCGCCGCCCCTTGCGGTCGCGGCAGCGGATCGAATGCCAGTTGCTGGACGGATTCCGGTGGAGTGAAGCGCGCGATCGTTGTCATAATCGATGCGTTGAGGTAGGTGATCGCGTAAAATATATCTGGATCTGAGCTATTGTCACTGTAGATTTGATTTCCTTGCAAGGAGTGAATTCTTCTCCGGTAAGAGTGCTCGTAATTTTTGCCAGCCAGCGTCACTTTACGGCTTTCTAGAATCAAAGCCATGGATGGATAGGCTTACAGTGCTACAAGATCTAGCAGAGAACGAAGCAAACGCTAGAATTTTTAAGTACGTTGCTGATCCACCCACGACAACACTGCAGCGGCTCAAAGTTTATATGCATACATTTTTCTGGGTTCGATCCCTCGTATCTCACTGTTTTCTTTTTCCTTCTTTCAGGGGCTAACGACGGGAGGATTGCCAACATTTATTGACGTTGGCCACAGTTTTGGTGCTCCTGCAATAGTCGAAGACAATTTAATTCTTCAGGTCAGACCTTATACGAAATCTTCTATGAGAAGTCATAGTTTTATATTTGGTTTCCTCCAGCTTGCACGAAATGGCAAGCGCGTTGTGATGATGGGAGACGATACGTGGTTGCAGCTATTTCCAAATCATTTTTCCGAAGCTTATCCATTTCCATCATTCAACGTCAAAGATTTGCATACAGTAAAACATTTTCAAAAATTTTGCTTGCAAACTAATCTGCACGCAACGTTGTAGGTGGACAATGGTGTTATAAGCAACATCTTTCCCAAGCTGCATCAAAACAACTGGGACTTACTTATTGCCCACTTTCTTGGCGTGGTACTTTTGTCGCGAGCAGGCACGCTGCTCCTTTGCTTTGGTCATTTTTCGTGATGCGATTTAATCTACATCAGGATCATGTTGGACATATATTCGGGGTAGAATCTCCTCTCATGGTTGAAAAGCTGACGCAGTATAACAATGTCTTGGAGGTAATGTTTGAAACCACCATTATTCAAGACATTTTTGGGATACGTTACTTTACAGGAAATCATTTCTATCCTTCAAAAGGAGTCAGGTCCTGGTGGTCTCCACGAAAATACTATGCTGATTGTTATGGGTGATCATGGTCAAACTCTTAATGGAGATCATGGTGGTGGAACAGCTGAAGAGGTTCGTTGTTCTTCTGGCATTTTTCATTGAACCCATATGAGTAACAGGTTGACACTGGACTTTTTGCTATGGTCTTGGGAGGCCGAAAAGGCAAGGATATTCATTCCTCTTCTTGTGGATTGCACATGGTTTGTTTATTTTTCCTGGAGTATTTCCAGCGTAATATTAACATATATTTGTTTCCAGGACGCCAGTAGCCCGGGTATAAGCACGCTTCCACAGGTTAGAATCAATTCTGTGAGATGAACATTGATGATCGGTATGCAGCTAGATTTTGCTCCTACGTTATCTACAATTTTAGGAGTTCCCATTCCTTTTGGAAGGTAGCTCTGTTTCCTCACGTACTTGCTTACGTTCGTAACGTGTCTGGTTGTAGTGTTGGACGAGTAAATTTGGAATTGCTTTCATTGGCTTGGTCTAACCATGAATCCTCAAATACACCAGAACACTACCAGAATGTTCTTTGTATAAATAGCTGGCAGGTAAGGTCACGTTATTTCTTGTTTCTCATGTATCTGTACGACATACCTCTTCAGGTCATGAGATATCTCGAGCATTATGCAGCGCATTCGCTTAATGGGATTCCAGCTCCCGATTTAATGCGCTTGAAAGCATATTATGAACCTTTGTCTCGAGACGCAACTGGAATTGCCACCGGTCTCAAGGACCAAATAACTTCATACAACACTTTTCTTACGGAAGCTGCCGCTTTAGCCCGATCTCAGTGGACCCAATTTGGAGATGCTAAGATGGCTGCAGGCCTGACCCTTCTAGTATTATCTGTTCCGGTTCATGCACTGGCGTTATTAAGAGTGTCGCGTTTCCGAGGGCCTCACCATTCTTATGAGCTGCAACTAATCTTTCCTGGAAGACTTATTGCCTCCGCATGCACATTGGGAGGTCTTATTTCTGTGGCTACAGCTGTTACACTAGGTAAAGGCTTCAGCTGGTATGTTATTCTTGGAGCCGTGGGCTTTGCTGCAGTATTTGCGTATCTTCTTTCTGGATTTTTTCAAAATACATTAAGTGCGAAGACCAAAAGCTCTGAAAAACGCTTCTGGAGCTATGCCTGTGATTCGAAGGCCATAGCAGGAGTTATGTTTGTAATGCTGCACGCTTTGAGTCTCCTCTCAAACAGTTTCATCAGTAAGTAAGTCACTTCTAACGACTTATCTAAACTTAATCTTACAGTGGCTGAAGGACATGTTGCAAGTTACCTTCTTGCAACTATTGGATTGATATACTTTCGATTTGCTCTGCAGTTCCAATCTAAAATCTTTCAGGCAAGCACCGTTTACTCTTTCTCTTTGTACTGACACCAAACCGTTCCAGGCCGTCTTGTTTCTTGTTGTCAATCGTGTCCTTTCTGGCATGGGTTTAACGAGCATTGTCAAAGACACGGTAGAATCTGGCAACGAAGTCTCTTACGCTAACTGGCTTGATGCAACTATATATTGCGTTCCCTTGCTAATATTTTCTTGGCTTGCCATCCGGCACGTATCCAGGAACTTGTATCGGCTAAACGCTTACCTCGTGGCAACACTTGCGCTACCTGTAATGTACGCAGCCATCGCAGTTCATTGGCTTATCTTGGATTTGAGCGAAGTGAAGACTATCACGATACCTGGCGATATAAGAGAATTTGCCCGTTTACAACTACCTCGTGTGGTATTTCTGGGCACTTTATTATCCACGGGTCTCGTCTACTTGGCTGGGAAACTTTCCGCTGGTAAATCACATCTTAGAGATGCTGTGATTGCGTTGTTCGGAGCTTGGAGTGCCTCTATTCTCCTGCTTCTTGGACGCACATCTCCGGCTCTCGGTTTTCTTGCAATGCTCGAAGGTAAACTTCTTACAGTTCTGTGTGCCAGCTTTGTGATTGGTTTCCTGCAGTGTGGTGTATATTGGAGCTTCAAAGCTTGGAGAAACGAAAGCTTATTTCTTCACACTGGAATTTTCTAGCACTTTTGCTATTTTTTTGCACTAACCACAGGCATGTAGAATTGTAACTTCTTCGACTAACACCTCTGCGTTTTAGATGTACATTTGACGGTCTTCGTTACCCTGCGGCGTTCATCGGGTAACTTATCTTCACACGGTGTAGTATCATGCTTCTGCTGATTACGTAGTTTACAGATTTGACGAGTTTAACCTCTATCGACAAGGAGCACTTCTTATTATTGACACTTATGGCGCATCGCATGTTTTGCCCATAATCGGCCTGCCTTCTCTTGTTGTCGCTGAATCTGAAAAGGATAGCGAGCAAAAGAAGGCAGACGGACGTCGCTCAACACATTTTGCTCTAGACATTGCTTTGGTAAGGCTTTTATGATAACTCCGAAGCCATAATCTTCTTTTCCACATATTTTGCAGGCTTACCTTTCCTTCGGGCTCATCCGAAGCGTCACCACTACTTTCTCGACGATTTGTGTAGCAATACAAAGACGACACTTGATGGTAGGCATCTCTTTTTTGCTTTCTCTATTGCAAACGCGGCTGCTTCAGGTTTGGGGATTATTTGCTCCAAAATACGTTTTTGATGCGATTGGTCTTTTGATAACCGATTTATTATTTGTGGCCGCATCTGGCCTGTATTTTTCATTCACGTAACTTCATGGGTTCCAGAGACTTTGAGCTAGTTTTGTTCGAATTGCTGCACAGAAATTCATCCCTTCTGGTATGTAATCATCCTTCTGTGCTTGTTTCACGATTTAATTAAACATTGGGGCTGGGGCTGGGGCTGGGGCTGGAATGGAGTGTTAGACTCAAAGCGTGAGACTACGAGAGGATCTTCGACTACAACAGAAGCCTCGCGAAAGTGAGGTGCACACAAGAGCTTAGCCAGCCAAACCATACCATCCGCGTCCACAAGCCGCCGGCGAAAGCTAGCAACCGGCTCAACTTGAAGAACCACACCGAGTCGCGCGTCACCATCGCGCAAAACCCAAAGTTCCTCAAAGGCCACAATCCGCAAAGGCCTCTGGCAAACAGCACGAGTATTCCGGAGGATCCATCTGTTCTGTAAAGGCGGATGCTAAGCTGCTGCAGCTGCAGCCGCCAGGCCGCCAGCTTCGCAGTCGCCGACCCTCACGTCCTCGATCACGCGTCGAATTACATGACCAGTTTGAAGATAGAATTTTGTTCCTGAATTTGCCCCTGACGAATGCGAAGTCTCCGCATGTGGATCTTAGTATATTCGAACACTACAGCACACTTACATCGTTGGGGAGAGGACGATCTATTAAGTTGCGGGTGTGTCCATTGCGCTAACAAGATCATCTAAGGTGAAAATGCTCCCACGTGATGTATACACTATATACATTAATTATACATTAATATATACATTAGTGTATAAACTATAATGTAAAGTTGTTAAAATTGACGGGAACAATTCAACGGCTAATGATAAAGTTGACAAAATAATCCATTTCTTAGTGAGGGTGGTACCTGTTAACGTGGTGTTGAAGCGAATTGCTACTGAGGCCTACGTTCTTCTGGCACAGTGGACAGAGACGAGCCGCTGGTTTCCTTTGCTGCCAATCCATGGAGCTACTACCGCCATGGAGCTTCTTGTCCACTTCTCCGAGAGCCTTCATGAAGCCATCGTTTGGTTGCGCGCGGGGGTGAGCGCCTTTCAACAAGTTCCATGCGTCCAGCAGCGTAAAACCCCTGAGAAACAACGCAACGTTACTTTGCGGACTGGAACGTCGAGTTTTTCTTACTTTGCCAGCATCAGGTACGCGAGTACTATCGTTGCGCTGCGGCTCTTGCCTTCAAAGCAATGAACCAGAGCTTTCCCGCCGCTCTTCTCACAATCTTCGATGTATCCGCAAGCTTCTTCGAAATGGCTGGCGATGTCCTCCTCTTCAATATCAAGGACCTGTTTGTAAAGCAAACAATTAAGTCGCGCAAGAAAGAGGAGTTTCTTCTTCTTTTTTTCACGTACTTGGCAGGTCTTGTACTTGAAATGCTCAGTAACTTCCGGCTCTGGGGATCCAACCTCGATCGGACAAAGGCACAAAATGTGAGTGATGCCAACGTGCTTGAGGATATTAACTGACTTTGCAGCCAGTGCTCCTCCGACGTAAAGGCAGTCCAGCACACGAGAAGGCCTCTCTGTTTCGGTTCCTTGAGCAATTAACTCCATTCTTTCCAGTACGTGCTCCAGACGAACCTGAATTCACAGCTTTTTTTCACTGGCGATCGAAGTGGAAATACTACCTTGAGTTCGTAGCTGTCGACGACGCTATGCGGTCCGCCGCCTTCAAGGAACCCCGTGGAAAAGTCGTGCGTTTGGCAAAGCTTGTGGCCTTCGGAACCCAACACCTCGTCCCAGTGCTCAACTCTGTCATGAATTCCATCATCCACCTGCAAAAGAAGGTTTGTAACGTTCAACTTTGTCGCGTGAGAGACGCTCCTTACCTTGGCTAGTTTATTGTAGTCTTTCAGCTGAAGTGTGAAACGTCTCTCGAGTTTCAGCGGAGGACTCACGCCATCAGCCGATGAAAGCGTCGGAGGAGAGGGCTGGGGACTCAGTCGATCACTAGGCGAGGATTTGTCTGGACTCCAGTCGGAAGGAAGGTTTTCCCTGATATCGGCGACGAATTGCTTCAGATAAAAGTCCAGCCTCCTTTGTAGCTTCACGAGAAACGAGCGAAGCGGCACCATTGCTTTAAGTCCGGCTTGGAAACCAGACAGAAAAGCATTCGTAACTCCAGCCATATCCAGCTTCTCCGTCTCCTCCGCAACAGTCTCCAGGTAGCAACTCGATATCTCCTTCACCACCTCGGAAGAAGTGTCGAAGTCGTGGAGGAGCATCTCCACAAACCGTGGATACTGTGCTCTATCCAGCTCTCTCTTTTGGCTTGGAGGCCTTCGTGGGACACCCGAGTCGATCGCCACGAGATGGAGGGCCCTTCCTCCGGGTGGATTTCTTTGCGGCTGCTCCGCTTCGACGGAGGTACCAACAGTGATCGTTGTGGTCCTCTCTCTTGCGTGCTTTGGGATCGGTGGAACGCTCCGGCCGGACACGATGCTTCGTCGTCCAGTAACTTTAAACTCGAGTTTCTTCGTCTGGAGCGGCTCTCCTATTGGCGTCCTCTCGGTGCATAAGAGATTCCCCGGGTTTCCACGCCATCCCAGTTGCTGGCATGGGAGGCGGTCTTCATTGCGAAGAACAAGGTCTAGCAGCAGCACCCGGCCCAAACTTCCAGCAATTCTTCGCGCTATGGCTTGTGTGAGGACTGGAGGTTTGTATTTGTGCAGTGGACATCCAGTTACATACCTGCAAAAACAAAAAGTATGATTGTTTTTAACAGGCTTACGAGTAGTGTGTTTTTACCCCATGAGCAGCAAGCAGCGGTTGATCTCAAGCGCTTCTAGCATCTCGTCGCATGTTTTCACGCAATCTGGATTTTGAAGCTTCACATTTTCAGTTGCACGAATAATTTCCGACCATTCTGGCGACTCGCTTCTCACGATTCGAGCCTGATTGAAATCTGCTATGGATAAACAAAGAGAAGCTCTAAATTACCTGAGGTGTCGATACTCCCAGGTGTCTGCCAAGTTCGTATCCCAAGCGCTCAGACTGCGTTGTCAAGCGTGAAGGAGTAAACTTGAGGCAAGCTGCGGCCTCCTCGCCGTTTCCCAGCTGAAACACTGCAAAGTAGACAATTCCACCTGAGTTCACGTTCACCTGTTTTGAAGAATCTATACTTCAAAATCTAATCTGAAAGTAAGCTATCCTACCTCGAGAGACGCTGGAGCCGTCGCTTCTTTCTCTTCATCCTCTGTGTCGTTTGCATGCTCCGTAGTGTGCAAGGACACAAGACGCTCCCACTTAAAGTCACTGGAATTTATGTTTATATCAGCAGCCTTTTGTAGCCTCTCGTGCACGCTTTCAAAGGTGCTAGATTCTTGTGCAGCTGGTTCGAGATTGCTGAAAACACAAAGAGAATAGTATCAGCCAAAAGAAAAGGAAAAAATAAAAAATAAAAATCATAGATTCTATACAAAAGAAGGAAGAGAGGAGAAACATGAGAAGCTTACGTTTGTTCAGGAATCTCAATGAGCTTGGATTCTCTCCTGGTAAGGAGCTGAGATCTTAGAGCTCGTGTTGACGCAAACCATCTTGTAATCTTCTCGACGGTCACCGCAGAAGGATCTACTCTCCGGTAGAAAGCCTGGATTTCAATGCAAGCATTTCATACGCTAGGAAAAAAGAACAACAGGTGAAAGGAAAGAAATTCACCTCTAGACTGGATGAGAAGTCAAGTCCAGCTTCCTGGAGCGCAAGGTTCAATTCCGCCTCGACTTCGCTCGGCTAGAAAAGAGAAAAAAAATCTCATCAATCTTACACCCGCATTGCACGGATCCAAGATACCTGGCGCTGGATCTTTGGCGGAGGCGTCTCCATCGCCAATGCGCGATCGCAAGAACCCTAAGAGAGAGAGAGCGAGAGAGAGTATACATTATTTTACAGAGCCCCTGTTTTTGCGTTATCTTAAAATAGGGGAAAAATAAACATTAGGGTTCTTCGGCCATGGCGGACGCCTGGGCGAAGGAGCTAGACGAGGCGACGCGCTTGGCGGAGGAGGTCAAAGGCAGCATCGTCAATGCGAATTCCGGCGGTATGTCTAGAGGCGAGAGATCTAGGCTGCTGTCTACCACGAAAAGGAAGATCCTCATTCTGGACAACAAGGTTAATCGCCTTACCAGTACTCTCGAAACGCTGCGCGGCCAATTGTAAGCGTTTGTGGCAGTCGCCGTGAATGGTTTGATCGCACTAACACTGTGCTCCAGATCAGAAAAGGAATTTTTTCGTCGCCAAGACGCGATTATAAGTCTAGGACTCCGCGTCAAGCAACTCGATTCCAGCTACAAGAGCTCCCAAAACGCAAGGTATAAAAATCCTTGTTGTTCTTGAGTCTTTCTTTCCTTGAAAACTAGATTTTCCTTGTGCTTTCTTCTTCTCTTTTGTTTCAAGCTTGTTCTAAACGCTGCTTCCAGGGACGATTTGCTAGCTGATGGCACCAGAGGCCCTCCCGTCGAGACGGATAAGACTACGGGTTTGGACAATTATGGATTGATCGCATTTCAGCGACAAACAATGAAAGGTAGCGAGGAACATTGTCAAAGCTTTTGTTTCCTTTTGTTTACGTGCACCTCTTATCCAATCAGACCAAGACGTCGACCTTGAAGATTTAGAGAAATCTGTGGTCAGTACGAAGCACATCGCACTGACTGTGAATGAAGAGCTGGACCTCCAAGCACACTTACTGGTAAGCTCTAGCTCGATTTACCAGTGGTTTTGTGATCAAAAGCCAATGTCCTATTTGCTGCAGGACGATATGGATCGTCACGCTGATCGAACGAACACAGTTTTACAAGTAAGTATACGCGTGTCATCTTCGCGCTTGCAAATCTCTTCCTCATTTTCTTCGTCTCGACAGAATGTGCACAAGCGTTTGGTCGTTTTGTCGAAACGTGCCGGATCCTCAGCCTTGGGATGCCTGTGCTTGATGATGCTCGTTGTTGTGGCGTTGCTCTTGGTGCTGCTCAAGCTTATCCACGTCTGGTGAAAGTCTTTTCCTTCGCGTGTTTTCTTCGTTTGTATACATACATAGCGAATAAAAACGGGATTGTGTACAGCTCCTACTTCTATCTGCATCTGTAAGTTTAAAGAGAATCCTTTGTAAATAAACACTGTTAATATTGTCCGGAGGAGGCACTGCGAGTTTTCGACAGATGGAATTTACCACCCACTTAAGGCTACATTCCACATATTTTTCTGTCTGGATTTAATTTTCTTATAAATTTATAATTCAATCTACAGAAGCCTGGGAACTGAGACAGGCTTGTAATCTTTTTCAGTCCAAGTACTTGCATCTAGATCATACGAGAAAAACTTACGTACCCTTCCATTATCCTTCAAAATTCAAATAGTTACCAGCTTGACCACGGAAGTAGCTCTGTTTACGAGTTACTGATTAAATGCTATCACCTCACCAGTCTCCACAGAAATCTCCACAATTGTGCACTTGTCTTCCACGGTGAGCCACACCATATAGAGCTTTCCCCTCCAACTAGCAAGGCAGACCGGCTCACCCTTCTCGACATTCAGACGGAGATTGACAATAGTGTTCCTTGCGACACTAGGAAGCCACACATACCAGCTTGTTTCCTTAACAAAACAGCTAGGATGAATATAATATTATCTGTTAAATAGTACTTTTATATTAGGTTGTATGTGATACGTGTTGTTGTTGCGTTGCTCTTGGTGCTACTCAACCTTATCCACATCTGGTGAAAATGTTTTCCTTTGCTTCGTTTGTATACATACTTAGCGAATAAAAACGGATGAGGTAGTTGTTATGGGTTCAAATAGATGTCTTTGATATTTAAGGACTTTCATGCTTATGCAAAAAATTATATTATGCTAGTTGGGTGACTTGATACACTATTGATCAATTAATCTCTGATTCGTGTTAGACATAGATAAATATAAATGAGGGGTTGTAGCTCAGATGGTAGAGTGATCGCTTTGCATGCGATAGGTAAGGGGATCGATGCCCCTCAACTCCATAGTCTTTTTAAGTTTTCTTTTTCTTCAATGTTAAAGAGCAAAGTTTAGGGTTTCAACGGTGCTATAAATAAACTGTGGATATGGCAGCTTTCGGGTGTGAAAGGTGTACAATCGTTTTGTGTCGCTGCCACCAGCGATCTGCTCTTCACGGGATTCTCTTGCCAGACACATGCTTGTCCGGAGGCCCTGGTGGTCTGTCTACATTGTTGGACACCAGTTCCCATTGTGGTCTTCGAGGAGTCGACTCAAGAACTGGTGCTGTCTGCAAACTCACTTCCGAGTCTGGTAGGCTTTTTTAAGGGCAAGCTGAATGGCGGACAAGTGGAACTGTTTGGATTTGAAGGCTGTGAATCTCGAAGTTACACAGTAGAGGTCTGCTTTGGAGGAAGCGAGCTATTTCCATGTCCTGGTCTAGGTTTCTGAATCATTCATGGAATACCTCTATACAGACAAGAAGCCTGGCGAATGGAGTTCAGCGGGCCCTTCACTGCGGAGGAGTTCAAGACTTGCCTGGCAAAGTCTCCGTTCGGTGTCGGCACCACACAGGCAATGGTGTACCACACAGTGCTCACTCCACGGCTGCTTCAGCTGTATGTCCAGGCCAAGCAACCAGCTGCGTTTGACATGCTTATCCTATCTTGCACCATGGACATAGTAAGGTACGTTAGTGGACTGGAAGATTGTACTATTGTAGACATAGACTCTTTTCCCCCAGCACCTGTCGAAACTGACTTGGCCACCGGGCTCGTCTCGTACCAGGTTGTTTAAGAGCGGCCGCCTGAGATCGGACGAAATGCTGATCCTGTGCTCCGGAAAGACTAGTAGAACAAGAACTAGAAGCAAATAGCAGCTGACCGAGAGCAGCAAGGCACCGCAGCTTATCCTTTTCAAATGCAGCATACCGGTAGCAACCTGAAAGAGGTAGCGTCATTCCTCGTTGAGCTCGAAGGCGGCGATGATGCGCGGCTCATGGATTTTCTTGGCTTGAATGAACATGAACACGCAGCATATCCATGAGGATTGCTACCGAGGGAACAATCGCCTCTGCTTACCTTAACGTTTCGGAGGAGATTACATGAAGCTCATTTCCAGATAATTGGCGGACTTGCTGGCAGCTGAAGTCATGAATAGGTCCAAAGCTTTGTCGCGGTTACCTGAGAGGAAGATATGGGCATTTGACGTTCAGCAAGATGCGGCCGTTCTCTCAACCCACAACTCCGCGAGGCTGGAGGCTTTGGTGGTGAATGTAGTTAAGGTAAAGGGAAGCATACTCGGCCGCTATTGGAAGGACTATGAGTTGGAAGCTTTGTTGGCTACTACTATGGAGGAGCTGCTCTCCGGGGTTCTGTTTTGTAACGAAAAGGCCGTTGATTTAGTGCGGCCAGGTGTGACGAGCAATACGGGCTGGAGTACAGATCTCAGTGTCATCAACCAAACGGAAGCGAGCCATATTGCATGGAAAGATGAGATCCTTCCTCGGTTCATGATGTTTGAGGAGCTGTTGGGATGTCCTAGTACCTACGTTTTGCCACACCTAGACGTTGTGGGTGGTAAGCATTCTTCGATCTAAAGGTGTTTATCCGTGCTAATTTCATTCACTGTTTCTGCAGCAAATGTGAGTGTCAGTAACTTTGCAGAACTCGTTGGCATTTGTTGATAAATTGAGGCTTCCTGAGCCTGAGGAATTAGCTCTTGAGAAAGCAGTTCCGTGTTCTGGGTTTGTCAATACAAACAGATGCAACCGTTTCAAGCGGGGAGCTGAGAAGCCGTATTTTTGTTGCCCTGCTCATGAGAAGTAATAGCAAGATCAAGGTAAATTTTATTCTTTATATTTGATACCAGGTGATTGGAAATGTTGATGAGAGAGCTTCCCACGACCAAGATGGGATTTGGCCGTCCGTTCTTCAGAGAAAGCACTGGGCTCGAGCAGGCAGAGCGTGAAGTCGAGTGTCCTGGGCTGGCATTTGCTTGAGCACCCTCCATATATCCGGCCTGGGCATACGCCGTCACCATAGAATTCCAGGAAACACATTGTGGGCATACACGCTGGTGATAATGTTCCGGAAGTAGACATTGCAAAGTCATTGGATTGTGCACCATCTTGTCCATAGATTGAACAAGATTGGAAAATTGGAACTGCATTAAGTTAAATATCTCTCTCTTATGTTCAGAATCGCTTTTGCACGATTCGGTAAGGGGATCGATCACAAGGAGAATATCGTATTCTACAAGTATTATCCTGGTTTGTCTGCTTCGTTTGTATACATACTTAGCAGGGATCAAAACCCGATATTTTATTCCTTGTTTCTCTTTTGTCAATCTATCGGCTTCTTCCTACTCAGCTTCTAGCCTGTGTTGTAGTGTGCCAGCTCGTGGCTCTTCGGGAGGTTTCATGTGTGGGCTTGAAAGCAAAGTCTGTGCTGTCCAGCAACATTCCCCTAAACTTTGCCAAATCTCTCTTTTCTTTTCTTTTTTGTTTTGGAGACTTCCAGCAGCGTTATAACTTTGGGACAGCTTCTTTTCCCTATACTTCTTTCCGGAAATGAAACTGTCCGTCCTTCCTTCTTTCTAGAGCTCAGCCGCGTTCTTCAGTGATCCCCAGGTTGGTTTTTAAAGTCACATATCATTTCTAAACATCTGATTTCTCGTATCCCGTGCAGCTTCCATGTTTCGCTACGATTTCATGGATAAAACATTGCTACTTTTGCTAGTGATTACAGTTTGCGTTTTCTCTTCCTCGGCCCAACTCTCGGTTGGCTTCTACGGCAGGACCTGCCCGCGAGTGGAATCCATCGTCAAGCGAGTAGCTCTCGACAAATTTAAGCAAGCACCAACATCTGCCGCTGCCACAGTCCGTCTCTTCTTCCACGACTGCTTCGTCGAGGCAAGTCGAGAGAAAAAAATCTAGTGTTTTTTTCTCTCATCCCTGATAAACTTGTCCGGATTTCCATGAATTCCTCCATCCAGGGGTGTGATGCTTCCGTGACCTTAGCATCCACGCCGGCAAACAGAGCCGAGAAGGACGCGGACATCAACAAATCCCTGGCCGGAGACGCGTTTGATTCGGTGATGAAAGCCAAGAAAGCCGTGGAAGCCGAGTGCCCGGGAGTGGTCTCTTGCGCCGATGTTCTCGCCATACTAACGCGCGACTTTGTTGGCCTGGTAAGCGAAACTTCCCTTCTTTAAAGCCTTTTGGAGGTCTTCCATTCATGCCCAAAGCTCCAAAACGAAAGGGGACTCAAAAACAAAATGCGTTTTTTTTTATGTTGGTCAGACTGGAGGACCAACATGGCAAGTGAAGAAAGGAAGACGCGACGGGAGAATCTCCAGAGCGGAAGCCGCCACCGCCAATCTCCCCGGCGCGGAATTCTCCGTAAACCAACTTCTCAAAAACTTTGCGACCAAGGGTCTCAATCTCGTCGACCTGGTGTCACTCTCAGGTATGCACAGAAGTCACAAAAACATCAATCACTCACTTTTCTTCTTCCATGATCCAAACTACACAAACAAAAAACTCCAGGAGCTCACACATTTGGCTTTGCACACTGCGATCAATTCAGCAGCCGGCTCTACAACTTCAGCAGCAGTAACAGGATGGATCCAACAATGAGCTCCAGCTTCGCGTCGGACCTCAAGAAATCGTGCCCCATCCGGGGCGGAAATCCAAACCTGGTGGAACCGTTTGATCCAGTGACCCCTTTCGAGTTTGACAACGCGTACTACAAGAATCTGTTGGCGGGCAGAGGGTTGGTAACCTCGGACCAGGAACTTTACTCGGACAGGCGGACCAGGAAGCTTGTCCGCTTGTTTTCAAAGAAGCGCCAGCGCTTCTTTAATGCGTTTGCTGACGCCATGGACAAAATGGGCAGCATCGGCGTCAAGACAGGGACGAGCGGGGAAATCAGAAGGGATTGTAGCAGGATCAACTGAACTGTGAATCGTATCGTCCGAGACTAGAGTTTCTATCCTCGTGGAATGTGGTGTGTAAAGTAAACGGTTGAAAATTTGTAGTCGTGGTAGACTAAGCGTTGACTTTGGTTGGAGAAAGGATAATTCGATTAAAAGAATCAATATTCTTTTAATGTGGTGGTTAATCAAATGCGCAGCAGCTTGTTTACCCTGGTTCAACTCCTGGCATCTCCATATGATCAGCTTTCATCCAACACAAATACCCACATCATCATCTTCGAAATGAAATGAAATGTTAGTTAATTATAGGTTGTAGCAGTGAAAATTGGACAACGTATCTACAATATAACTACTTGGCGGTGCGGCGGCTGGAAAGTACGAGTAGCTCATGAAGTCAAACGCCGGGAAGTAATCTCCACTCCCATGTATCTACGAAACAAAACAAATGCAGCAATGAAGCATTGCCTAAATGAAATCAGTTTTGCATACCTTCCCGTCATTATGAAAGTTGCCTGTGGGTTGGTCCCCGGGCAGAAGTCGAACACGGAACCATCCACAATCCGGAGCTGCTCTGTGCCCAAAACCTTGAATTGGGCGTCCACCACCTGGCCAACCCGGCAGCTACCATGGTAATGCCACATGGTACCAACGTTGGCCTTGCAATACGCACCCAGGGCCATATCAATCATCTCCTTGGGGTAGAATTTACGGATCGGGAGGCCAAGAATGTTACCAGATGGCATTGCTTGCATACCATTGACAAACGGCGTCATGCTCTTGGACAAAAGGAGCTCCTCGATCACATTCAGGCCGCCCACACAGATCTGCAAGTCCTCGGGATCCTTGTAATAGTTGAAGGTGACGGAGGGGTTCTGCCTGATATCCATGCTGTCAATGAGAACCTCTCCCGTGGATTTTGGTCCTACCACCTTTTGGAATATGACGCTGCCCTGGAGGTTCTGGACACCGCTGAGGGCCTCGATGTAGCTGCCAAAGGGCGTGATTCCGGCCACCTGTACGAGAGCCGGCTCCACAGGCGACATAGAGGGGACGTACAGTCGGGTGGCGGGATTGTCCGCAATGTTCTTGCCGACTGGAAGATCAAGAATGACGGGAATGCCCTTCTGCTTGAGGTGCTCCGCCGGCCCAACGCCGCTCATCATCAGGAGGTGGGGAGTTCCGATGGCACTGGCGGAAAGTATCACTTCACTCCTTTCGTCAGCCTTGAGGAACGCGGCGTGGATTTGTCCGAGCTCGTCGACGAATTCAACTCCAATGGCCGTGGGCTTGGAAAGACCATCTTCGATTCAAAAGAACAAGAATTTTGTGATTTCAAAGCAAGAAAAGAGTTTGAAAACAACTTACCATCGAACTGGACCTTTGTAACTGTTGCATGGAGCACAACTTGAAGGTTGGTCGCATTGGCATATGCGGCAATCAAGTTGGAAGACGGCCGGCGCTGGCCATTGCTGTCATACAGCGAGCCCCCAGTCTTGGTTCCCACGAAGTGCTCGTAAGTGGCACCAAGATCCGGTGTCACTCCAACCTCGACAAGCCCCTTGTGGAAAGCGCTCTGGAAAGGTCCCAATACAGGGAGCGAGACAATCGCATTCTCTGCCCAGGTGTACGAGGTATTAGCCTTGACGGGATCGAGTCCGAGCTGCGCGATCTCCGAAGCCGGGGCACGGTCCCAGAAACCGGCGTTAATCGATGATCCACCACCCAAAACGCGCCCCCGAGCATTGGCAACGCCTTCAGTGGTGACGAAGTTCTGAGCTCCATCATCCAGGAACCCCAGGAAGAAATTCTCCACCCTCATGAGCAGTGGGTTGTTGTAAGGGGAGCCTCCTCGCTCGAGCAATAGGACGCGGAAGTTCTCTGACAGTGTTGCGGCCAGTGCGCATCCTGTGGCACCGCCTCCCACAATGATGTAATCGTAGTCTTGCGTCAACTCGACATTGTGAGCTTCTTGGAGAGGAAAGGGGAATTCTGCATTTAGTTTTCAGCAAAGAAACTGTCAGTAAACAAGAAATAAGAAATAACTTTAAAATAATTACCCGCTGCAGCAGCACAAGCAATGAAAACTGCGAAGAACAAGCCAAGGATCCCCATTCCTGTGATTCACAAGCTTTGTGTTCTTTTGGGCATTATTTTATAATACGTAAAAAAAAACCTTAATTACTTCCCAACCTATTAATAAAGAAAAAGTGCTAATAATGCATGTAACTTGCATGCCAAAAAAGAACTAAGCATTGGATTTTATATGTATGCTATAACAGCCTCTTTCCACTTTTTTTTATAAAAAAATTCTACGTCATCTCTTCGAAGAAACTTCTTGAAAGCTTGTCATCCAGGACACAACATATATATCGCGGGGCATTCTCTGGAAGATTTCCAGAGCTTGATCGTGGTTGTGAAAGCTCTCGTTTTGTTGAGGCATGCTGTTGAAGTAGAGCTTTGCTTCGTGATTGCGTAAATCCTTGCAGTTAGGATGGCCATGATGTTAAGACCGCCAATGCAGGTTAATAGATCATCTAATAGTTGAAAGTGATGACGGGATTGTTGGTAATGTCCAAATAATATTAGGCCCCGCTTGTAAGTATATGCATCAAGCAAGAGATCACGTTCTGCCGCGGCATCCTCTCGGAAGTTTAAGCAGCAACCTCTAGATTTTCCATCTGGGCATTTGCTGTCGTCGTTGCCGCAACATTCCAGTGAATGCTTTGGCATACTCAAAGGACCTTAAATATCAGATAATCGAGACACCAGTGCGTTCCAAGTGACCTCTTCGCGCTGCGGCATCAAATCAAACAAGTCATGCCAAATACCCAATATACCCGTCACGGAATATGGTGAAATAAAAATAAGACACATCGTCTCAAATGGAATTCCAGCAGACCATACCAGTACAAGCTGTCCATCTTGTGCCAAAACGTTCACCAGCGCATTTCCGTCACATCGCTCGCTATTTCTTAAAGCAAATCCCGTGTATGTGAGAAGATGTAGAATACGCCGTGGGCATGGTCCAGGCAGCCACACCTTTGGATCGGTGGTGTCAATGCACGAGAGAATCTGTTTGCCCCGTGTTGCACAATCTGTTCCCAGAACTCTTGCAGGTTCCTGTAGAAAGAGAAAAAGAGTTGAGCGGCAATGTAGAATGGTGCCAAGCTAGTCGATCATTGAGTAGATGACATCGATCTTTTTGAGCTGAACTTTGACGTTCGAATTTGTGATGCCAGAAGATAACATTTTACCCGCGTTTTCTAAATTAAAGGTTTGATGAAACATGAAAAAGTTTGCATTAAGCTTTTTTCAGGCGGATGTGCTATTGAGCCGCGCACCTATAATCTCCAATCCCATGTACCTGTCCATTCGCAAACAAAAAGATTGTAAAAACTACGGATAAGAATTCTGCACATACCTTCCCATCATTACAAATGTTGCCGTACCTGGGCAGAAGTCAAACACAGATCCATCGACAATCCTGAGCCTCTCCGCACCCAACACCTTGTACTGGGAGTCTACCACCTGGCCAACCCGGCAGCTACCATGGTAATGCCACATTGTACCAACATTAACCTTGCAGTATGCACTCAGTGTCGCGTTGATAACCTCCTGTGACGTAAACTTGCGGATCGGCAAGCCAAGCACGTTGCCCGATGGCATAGCTTGCATGCCGCTCACAAAAGGGGTCATTGTCTTGGACAGCAGGAACTTCTCCATGATGTTAAGACCGCCAATGCAGGTTGCTAGATCATCTGAGTTGTTGTAATAGTTGAAAGTGATGACGGGATTGTTGGTAATGTCCAAGCTGTCGTTACTAAGGAGCACTTCTCCGGTGGATTTTGGGCCTGCCACCTTTTGGAAGATGACGCTGCCCTGAAGGTTCTGGACTCCACTGAGGGACTCGATATAGCTGCCGAAGGGGGTGATACCCGCCACCTTTACGAGCGCAGACTCAACAGGCAGAGGCGATGGCACGTAGACTCTTGTGGCTGGATTGTCTGCAATGTTCTTGCCAACAGGCAAGGCGAGGACGACATTGATGTTGAACTGCTTGAGGTGATCAGCCGGCCCAACACCGCTCAACATAAGAAGATGAGGAGTTCCGATTGCGCTGGCGGAGAGGATAATCTCACTGGCCGAATCTTGTTTGAGAAAAGCAGTATGAAGACCTCCATTTCGGTCGATGAAATCAACTTCCATCGCCCTTGGAGCTCCAGAATCTGCAGAACAGTCACTATATAACTATGTAACCAAGATTGATTCTTACCAGACACATCGAAATGGATCTTCACGGCTTGAGCATTCAGCAGGACCTGAAGGTTTTGCGGGTTAGCATAAGCGGCGATCAAGTTGGAAGACGGTCGGCGCTGGCCATTCTCATCAAACAAGGTTCCTCCGGTCTTGGTCCCCACAGAGTGCTCGTATGTAGCACCGAGATCCGGTGTCACTCCGGCTTCAACCAGCCCCTTGTGGAAAGCTGTCTGGAAAGGTCCTAAAGTTGGTAGGGAAACAATCACATTCTCGGCCCAAATGTAGGAAGCATTGGCTTTAACAGGGTCAAGTCCGATCTGTTTGATTTCTTGGGCTGATGCACGGTCCCAAAATCCCCCATTGATCGATGACCCCCCACCCGAAGCTTACCTCGACTCCAAGAACCATCTGTGCTGACAAAGCCTTGTGTTCCTTCATCAAGTAAACCAAGCATAAAATTCTCCTCTCTCATAAACAGCGGGTTATTGTAAGGGGAGCCACCTCGCTCAAGCAGAAGAACAGTGAAATTCTGTGAAAGTGTTGTAGCCAATGCACACCCTGCAGCTCCGCCACCCACAACAATGTAATCCAAATCTTTAATCAAGTCAGGCGCTTGGTGTGCCTCGCTAAGAGGGAATGGAAAATCTGTGAAAAAGGTTTAAAAACATGAGTTTACACGGAAAACCTTGGAAACTACATGACTAACCATCTGCAGCAACATAAGCGATGAAGAGGAAGGCAGCCAGAGCCAAACACTTCAATTCCATTGCTGATTGCAATGATATAAAGTCCTATATATACCGATATTGTTTCACTAATATTAACATTCGATGCTATTCTTAACCATATGATAATTGAAATGGAATATATTTCTGATAGCACACTTAAATAAACTTAAAAGGAATTCACAAGGTTTACTCGTTTGCCTTTGATTCTAAGGCCGTCATTCCGGCAGTGATCTCTTCAGCAAGCTCGTAAACTGCAAGACTATATAGAATGGATATGTTGTATCGCATAACAACACGAAAGTTCTCCCAGACAAGATAAGCTACTCCCGAAGGCCCGTCCGGAGCAACCTGTTAAGAATTTATTGGCGAGAGAAAGAGTGAGAATCAGCAAATGGAGAATTCTTACATACCAGACTGACTGGTTCGTCACCAGATAGCTGACTTCCATCGGCGGCGGTGATCGTATTTTCTTCTAACCATCTGTTCACATTTTTCTTGATATCCAAACCGTAGACAGATTTATCCATGTCGGATGGAATTTTGACCTTGCAGAAACACCAATCGATCAGGTTAAGGAGAGAAAAGTGAAGGCAAACCTTCTGTGCGTATTTTCCGCCAATCTCCCATCCATGTTCAGCGAGATAGTTTGCAATGGATGCAAATATGTCGGCCTTTGAAGACCAGATATCTGGGAATAACATTTTAGGGATGGACACTAAAGAAGAAACCTTTGAGTACCTTTGCGTCCATCTCTGTCGAAATCAACTGCGTAGTTCCTGAAACTAGACGGCATGAATTGGCATTGTCCCATGGCACCGGCCCAGGAACCTTTCAAGCCAGCTGCATTAGACGGGCCCTCGGCCTTGTCAAGGATAAACAAAGCATGGAAAACTTCATCCCTGAAGAATGCTCTACGTCTTGCCTGCGAGAAAACAAATCACTGTAAACTCGACTCAGTATCATAGATTTACGCCAACCTCTGGGGAATCAAACGCAAGAGTAACAAGCGCTTGAATGACATTCCACGAACCCGTGTAGGAACCGTAGCTGCAAAGAGCAATTAAGAGACAAAATCTATGAACGCGGATCTTACTTGGACTCGATCCCCCAGATGGACACCAAAAGTGACGCGGGAACTCCATACTCCGCAGAGATTTCTTCCAGCAACGCTTTGTTATCAACAAACGCCTGGACACCTCTCGAGACCCTGCTCTGGCTCACCATACTAGCAAAAATGCAGAGAATGTGTTAAAAGCTAGAAAACAAAAAGTTGCCTTACGTTTTTATATAGTCTTCCGCAGTGAGCGTTTTCTCTGGCTGAGTTTGATCCTTCTCCATAATCTTTGGCGAAATTTTGACACCGTCGAATGCTTCCAGCACCGTGTCTTTGCCGACGCCTCGCTGAATTGCCTCCTCTTTGAGATCTTCGAGCCAAGCACTGATATCGGACTCTGGCGTCGACATTTCTACTGGAATTTGATTGATTTTGACGTGAATCTGTGCTCTAATAGCTGGCTGAGAGATGGAAAAAAAATAAAAATAAAAAAACACGATCACAGGGCTTGAATTTAACACAAGTTTTTTTTTATCACCTGTTCGCTTGCTATTGAGCAAAAAACTGGAGCTTGGCTGGTGTAAGAATGTCCTTCTCTACAAACAAAACATCAAAAAATAAATCACCAAGAAAGATTGCGATAAGCAAGTTTCTTCTTACCAGACCTTCTAAACGAAGAACACGCGACCACTACCAAAACCGCGGCGAGCTTGGGGTCGAGCGCGCAATGAATCGCCTCCAGACACCTCTCGATCTGCCCCAAATTCCACAAACCCGAGACCCGCGACTGTTGCTGAGAGCTACACATCGCCAGTGCCAATTTTCTAGGGAATGCGCGACACCTGCTAGAGACAAGCGAGAAGGGCGGCAAAATCCGGCAGGAGGGATCTAGCTTAGCAAACATTCCATCTCTTGAATGAAATCGCAGCCCTGGAGACGCGAAAGCCATGGCGCTCATGGCCGGAATCAAGCAACCCTAGCGATTCCCACAAAATGTAGGTGGAATCCCACTCAATCCCTCCAAAATCCAGCGCCAGACGCCATCGCCCATAAACCCTAGGAGACCCCCACTATTTTGTTTTGAAAAACTATTTATATGCATGGCCGTTATAAACTCCTCACTTTGTACTTTCCATTGCTCCAAAGTTCCAAAAGCGTAGCTCTGGTTGGAAGCTTTCACTGCCTGGAAGCGAACTTTAAAAGCTATGGTCTCTCCTCTACGCTCGAATTCTAGAACTGGAGGAACCACCGATACCAAAACACCGTCTGGAGCCTCCACGCTTGATCGGTACGTGGTAGCGTCGTCGTCTACGTTCGTCACTCGCCGGTGGACGATTCTCTTGCCTCTGAGCGACGAGGTCGCGATGGAGGGATAGTTGAGATCGCTGGAAGCCATGCGTCGTCGTGTGGCACAGTTCGCGAAAGTCGAGATGTATCGTCTCTCTTGCCTCAATCCGAAAGTCCGTGAAGTCGGGCGCCTTGGCATCGTAGACGAGGCCCGGATGAGCAGCCGCGCTTGGATTGACGTGGCCTCCACCGAAGTTGAAAGGGGTGGCGGGAAGCAATGCCGCGTCTTTGATCGGCTCTCCAGAGTTATCAGTGAGAAAACCTTTTGCAAACGAGAGAAAAAATCCGATTTTCTCCTGAGAGCACATAGTGCTTACCTGTAGTTATGATTGCCGATTTGATAGCCGCTGGACTCCATTCGGGACGGTATGCCTTGAGCAGTGCAACGATCCTGGAGACATGCTGACAAGCCATGGAAGTTCCAGACACAATACGATATTCCCCTATTGTTTGCAAAAGGGCTGTATGCAGCTAGAATGTCCACTCCTGGAGTTGTGATATCGGGCTAGAAAAGAAGAAGAAGAAGAAGAAGAAGAGAGAGACTAAGTCTTTTTTTTAGAACTTGAAAATTAATTCTTACATACCTTGAAAATGTCGGGGGTGACGGGATTGGGGCCCTGCGAAGAGAATACTCCCATCATTGGTGCGGGTTTAGTGTTGAGTAGCGGGCTGGAGATATTTGTGCCACAAGAGATCTACAAGATGAAGCAACACAAGCATGTTTCTACGCGAGCAAAAAAGTAAACCTTGTGGAGTTTATGTACGATTGTATGGCATTTGCCTCGGCTCTGTTGACATGAGACGCAGGAAGTGCGTGTTCAAAAGGACGAGCACTTTGGGGGCCGCGGTTGCAGAAAATTATCCCAGCTTGACGAGCTCCTCCTCCAAGAGGTAGCGTATCAAGACATGTCACTATTTTGCCCCGGACTTTCTTTGGATCCAGGGATCCCGAAACGCATCGCTCTAGCTCACTGTAATGTAAAAGGTGTATTGTGAATGTGTTCATGCTTGGCATCAGCGTACCTTGTAGTAAAGCTTGAGTTTGGAATGCCAGCGTCCAGACTCAACACAAGGGGATACCATCGCCTGCCGAGAGTGTGGCGAGTCAGGCTCAAGCCCTGTAATCAAAACATAAGAGAAGAGAAAACGAGACTACTGATATAGAATCAGAGTTTTACTCACTGCAAAGCTCTGGTTGTTGCCGAGAGAGCCTCGCGACGTAAAACTGCGAGAGATGGTGCTGGCGGCGACGGTGATGATCCAAGGTGCCGCGTTTGCAACAGTGCCGAAGGAATAATTGTTCCCTGCCGCGGCCACCACGACGATGCAACCGATGGCGATAGGATCCGAGAAGTAGTCGCTGGAATTTGTGCCAAGCGAGACGGAGAAAGCACCCACGCGGTCGTGTATTCCCGCCTCGAAAGCTGCCAAGACGCTCTCGCTTGTGCAGTCGAAAGCTTGCTGGCGAGCCCAGCAAACTTTGTACGCTGCAATGCGAGAGTTTGATGCGCCACCGCTCAAGGTGCTACTTGCGTAGCCGGACCAGCTCACGTTTTCCACAAACCGGCCCCCGGCTATGGAAGCTGCGTGTGTCCCGTGGCCATTCGCGTCTCTGGAGAAGATATCTCCGTGTTGGTTCTTCCTTCCGGCTCGAAAAACCTTGCACCGATGAGCTTCCTGCAAAGAGCCGAAAGTTTACCAACTTTTGGTTTGACCGAATTCACCTGTTGCAATGCGAGGAAGTGAAGTTCTCTCCTTGCTCGCAAGTGCCCTTCCATCTCGGCGATATTGGACCCATTGAATCGTCCGCAAAGCTCTTGGACTCTGGCGATATTCCTGCGATAGAAGCGATGGAAGTGAAAACTTTCAAGAAGAGCATAGCACTTGTTTGTGAGACGCAAACTACGTACCCGTGTCAATCACTCCGACTATAATGTCTTCACCGTAGTTTGCCTTTCGCCGCAGTGACTTGCTTTCAGAATCACCAAATAACGACTGGACATTCTTGCCACCGTCCTCGTCAAAGCCCAAGAAGCTCCACGAGTTGGTCGTGTGCAGTTTGAGATTCTGAGTAGGAAAAACGGATATAACATTTGGTATCCCTGTGGCGGAACATATCAAAACGAGAACTGAGCAATTCTTGAACTGAAGCTTACGAGAGATGTGAGCGGCTTCTTCGCTTGTAAGTGATGCGGCAAAGCCATTGAATCCATGGCGATAGCTGTAAGTTAAAGACGCCTTTGCAGCGTCAGAGTTGCATACATTCACAAGAGAAAACAAAAACAAAGCTGTTATGGAACGTCTCCGAGAATGAAAATTATACCTTCCAAGGATGTTTTCTAGCAGCTGGTAATGCGAGTCGGAGACAGCATCGGGATCGGAGTGAAGAGTCGCGTCCAAATCTCCGAGATAGACAATATGAATCGCCTTCTGCTCAAAGATCATATTGTCAAGCAAGAAAATCGAGAAGTTTAGTGCAGTCATCCACCTGGGAGCAAGCAACCGCGAGGAAAGCAAGCGACATGCAAAAGGTGAACCAAACAGCCATATATGTTGCAATGCAACAGGCTTCATCTTTGGAGCTCTTATAGAATGAATGGAATTCGTCGATTAGTTACCGCCTTGACTTGATCAAATCAGCGTCTCGTCTGGAAACTGGATCAAGGATTTTCGAGTTTCTGTACAAAACCATCACCAGAAATCTCTAAAAATGTCAAGGTTGGCTAATGATCAGTGCATCATCAATGCGTTTCTTTTCACCTGGGGAAGAGAACAAAACTCCGAGCTTTGGGTTGATTCAGTCTTGCCGTGTTTGGCTACTTCGGTACTCCCAGGAATAACCAGAGCACTCTGATAGCTTTTCTCGACAAAGAAGCCATTCTATAGTGATACATTCTTCAATCCATTGCCCCCAGATTCGAAAAAGAAACAAAGAAGAGATCACGAATTCGTACCTTCCGAGAAGAATGTGCGTTGACATCGTCGCTCTTCGAGAAAACGTAAATCGCCTTTGATAAACCCTAGAAATCTCTAGCCATAAACCCTCCTATATCGCTAGCTCTCTATCCGCACAGCCATTGGGCTGTACTTTCCATTGCTCCAACGAGAGCTCCAAAAGACTGCATGGAGGAACTTTAAAAGCTATTATTGTCTCTCCTCTACAGAACTGAAGGAACCACCGATACCAAAACACCGTCCGGAGACTCCACGCTTGCTCGGTACGTGGTAGCGTCGTCGTCTACGTTTGTCACTCGCCGGTGGATGGTTCTCTTGCCTTTGAGCGAAGAGATCGCGATGGAGGGATAGTTGAGATTTCTGGAAGCCATGCGTCGTCGTATGGAACAAGTTCGCGAAAGTGGACGTTTCGTCTTTCCTGCCTCAATCCACACAGAAAGTCCGTGAAGTCGGGCGCCTATCGTAGACGAGGCCCGGGTGAGCAGCCGCGTTTGGATTGACGTGGCCTCCACCGAAGTTGAAAGGGGTGGCGGGGAGCAATGCTGCGTCTTTGATCGGCTCTCTACAGTGACAAAACCTGTTGCAAAACAAGAGAAAAGAATCGATTGTTTTCTTCTGGAAAGCACAGAGTGTTACCTGTAGTTACGATTGCCGAGTTGATAGCCGCTGGACTCCATTCGGGACGGTATGCATTGAGCAGTGTCATCGATCCCGGAGACATGCGGAAAAGACATGGAAGTTCATAATACCATATTGCGTATTGTTTGCGAAAGCAGCCACCATATCAGGCTAGAAGAAAAAAGAATAAACAAATAAATAAATAAATCATGCAAGTTAATTCTTACATACCTTGAGAATGTCGGGGTGACAGGATTGGGGCCCTGCGAAGAGAATAATCCCATCACTGGTGCGGGTTTAGTGTTGAATCCAAGGATCCCGACACACAATATAATCGCCTTCTGCTCAAAGAGCATAAAGGTCAAGCAAGAAAATCGAAACGTTTAGTGAAGTCAACCACCTGAGAGCAAGCAACCGCGAGGAAAGCAAACAATATGCAGTATTTCATTTGCATTATGCAAACAATGAACCAAACAGCCATATATGTTGCAATGTAACAGGCTTCATCTTGCGAGCTCTTTATTTCGTCGAGTAGTTGCCTTGACTTGATCAAATCAGCGTCTCCTCTGGGATCAAGGCATTTCGAGTTTCAGTACAAAAAAAAAAAAGGTCCAACAGAAATCCAAAAATGCGTCATCAATGCGTTTCTTTTCACCCGAGGAAGAGAACAAAACTCTGAGCTTCGGCTCGATTCAGTCTTGCCGTGTTCTATTTCCCGTACTCCCAGAGGAACAACCAGAGAGCATTCCAGCCCGTGAAGTCTCGATAAACAAAAGAAGCCACTCTGTATAGTGATACAAGTCGAGCTTTACTTCAATCCATAGCCCCCAGATTCGAAAACGAAAAGAAAAGAAAAAACTCTTCACGAGTTTGTACCTTCCGAGAAGAATGTGCGCTGACATCGTCGCTCTTCGTTCTAGTGACGAAGAAAACGAAAATCTCCCCTTTGATAGAAGTTCTTTGATTAACATTTTATAATTTTCCCGCCGAAAATTCTGCATTTTTAGGGGTTTTGTTAGGGCTTGCTAGGGGAGATGGAAGGGAAATGGGCAGCTCTATACGCGAAGCGCACCGCCAAGAAGAACAAAAGCTTCCAGGATGGATTCCTTGTCGTTAAGGCGAACAAGGTGCGTTGTTCTTCCTTCGATCGCTTCGTTTTTTTTTTTTTTGGAGCAATGGCTGATTGATTGCCGCGCGCTTGATCAGCTCGTGCTGCTGGATGAAGGAGAAAATCCGCTGGACGAGAAATTTAGAGGGCAAAGGGATGTTGTGATGCAAGGGAGCGACCTAGAGTTTGATCGATACATCGTGCAAGTGGATAGTCGGGTTGGTGGTACCGATGCTACCGGCGGATCGAGCTCCACGAAACAAGATTTGGCTGCAGAGAAGGAGGATTTGTCTCAGACAAAAACCAAGGCTCTCTACTTCCCGCTCAAGAAGAAACTAAAGCCGAGCATCGAACGAAGAACAAGTATGCTCCTTAGTTATTTTGATTCGAATTTTTTCCTCGCTGACAACTTGAATGCAGCCAATGAGATTCTTGATAGACTCCGAATGCCGAATGGATTTTCTCAAGAAAGGAGCTCTCAGGATGCTCAAGCCTCTCAAGTTTTTGTTTGCGACGAGAATGGGAAAAATGCGTCTCTGTGTTTGAGGTCGGTGAATTTATTTGATTACTTTTGTATTGTATTTACACGAAAATGTATGCAGGCTGAACATTGTGCCCGATGTCACTCCTCCAGTTCAGTTTTACTTCCAAGCTGCTGGACAGTTACAAAGAAACGTCGCCATTCCAGACAAGTTCAAGGATTGCTCCGAGTACAAGGAAGTTATGTCTTCAGCACTGATCGAAGAGATTTCCTTGATGGTAAGTGCTTCAACTTAACAACATGTACTTTCACTAACTACTATATCAGATTTCCGACTTTGCCAGGCGTTTCAACTCTGCAAAAGAAAAGATCCAAGCTGCTATTATGCCCTCTTGCAGCCACGGAGAGTGCGAGCTACGCCGAAATGACGAGGTATTTGCTTGCAGGTTGTATTAAAGCTTCTTCTGTGTTCTCGTCTTAGGATGGAAACTTTAAAGGGCGTTGGTTTTATACTTGTTCAAGAAATCCGCCTTGTATGAAGTCCTGGGCAGACACTGCAAGTAAGTGTCATGGCTGGTGTTCATAGCCTCACTTTTCTTTGTAGGTGGTAAGAGCGCCCAACTATCTGCGGACGAACTCGAAAGACTTTATGCTTCTTATGACATTAACCTCTATGCGCACTGTCACTTAGTGAGAAGGTATGACTGTCGAATTTAGTCTGACTTAATTCTTTTGCTTTTCAGATCTTCAAGGCCCGGATACATAAACATCCATTTGGGAAGAACTGTTCCCTTGAACTATGCGAAGTATATATCATCATTGCTACCTGTTGACGGCTACTAATAAGTCTATTTTACAGGGGAGATTTGATGGTCATTAGTTCCAGTTCAAACTTCCCGGAGAAAAACAGGTATCGTAATTGTGACAAACGGCAAGGCACTGAATGGTTTTTTTGAAGCGAGGAGTTTACTGTTGTGGCCACAAGTGAATCGTTTGGCTCTTCTAGAAATGCAGCCGTAGAGGTAAAAATGGAAAAAGATGGTATATCGACATGATAATTGAAGAGCTGATATTGTTCGCAGTTACGGCTACATGGACAACCAGTACCAATAAGAGAAGGAAAGAAAATATATGTCTTACAAGGGCCTAGTCTTCAATCGGAACTGACGATGCTCGATTGTATAAGGTAACGTCCTGTTTACGTGTTTCTTCTTCTATTATTATAGCGTGCTGCTTTTAGAAAGATCCAATCCTCCAGTACGCCGTTGTTACCTCTTCTTATGGGATCGGATACGTATGTGCCTAGACAGGCTGTAGTTCCGACGAGTATGGACCGCGTAGCTAAAGAGGCAATCTTCAAATACAACCTGAACAGTGACCAGGTAGTCACTCTATTCTCGTGGCTACCTTTCACACCAAGACAAATATTCTAGGCAAAAGTTTTGTTTACAGTGGGCGGATGGTTTACATCAGAAGATATCACTATGCCCCGTGTCTGTCTCGTACATGGACCATTTGGATCGGGGAAAAGTAAGCTTACCGTCTCTCTGTAGTTTTGAGATTTGACAAGTCTCATTCCAGGTCACCTTCTAGTGGCGTTGGTTATTTTTCTTTCAGAGATTTTGAACGTAAACTACTTTAGTATTCAAGTTTTCTACACTGCCTAACATTATCAATACAGAAACAAAATGACCTCTCTACCAGGTTTATCATTGCAAGTGCAACTAATAGCGCCGTTGACAGGTAGTTTTAGAGATAGTTGGGTACAGGCCTGACTATAAGATTTCAGGGTGTTAACAGGGCTCTTAGAGCATGGATTTGATGACTTTCTACGCGTGGGTTCTCTTGGCAAAATTGCTAGCAATATTCTTCCGTAAGAACACTGTTACGATTTTATTTTTGCCTAACAGTTTGTGTAGCTATTCTGTGCACGCAACCTCAAAAAACTGCAAGGAGGAAGATGATGCCGAAAAAGACTTAAAAGAGCTGTTGAAAGATGCGGTTGGAAAGGAGAGAGCGGTATGGTAATCCTCGTCGTACCGAATGCAAGTTCTAACTTCGTACCTTGCAGAGGATTGAAAACGAACTGAAAGCAATAAAAGATGGAAAACTAAAGCACCGCAAGACGAGGTTACAAAAAGTACGCGCTGTTGGGGTCACCTGCTGTTCTACAATCAATGAGGTTTTGCATGGCAATACGTTCAAGGTACTGAGTCTTATTCTTTCTGTTCTCGTTATTGAATTTTGAAAAATCTTTCAAGATATGTTTTCTGGATGAATGTTCGCAAATAGTGGAGCCATTGAGTTTGTTGCCTATATCCCAATTTCGATGTGAAAGGTATTTCGTCGACTATATTCTTTACACTTAAGACTGACGGTATTCTTTACACTTAAGACTTGTCGCTGTCGGTGATCCACAGCAACTTCCTCCAGTTCTTTCACCAACTGAAACAAACAGTTTTGCGAAGTCTGCAGATCTTTCAAGGTGTCATTTTTATCCTTCTTTTTGCTATTGTGGAAGTTTCCTGTTTGTTTTCTCTAGGACTCTCTTTGAAAGGTTAGCGGCTCTTGGACACCGTCCTGTACCCCTTCAGACGCAGTATCGTTGTCATCCAAGGTTGATAATATTCACTTCAAGTTTTCAATCGACTAAATAATGGCAGCAGATTATCAAGAGTCCCCAATCGTTTGTTTTACGAAGGACGACTTGTCGACGGGTGCAGGTACTTCATGTATGACCTTTGTATCAATGTTTTAAGTGCTCGTGTGTTGTGGTTTTAGTGAGATGGAGCGATCGGCTTTGCTTCTTAGTATACCACCTTTGGTGTTCTGCGACACATGCAAGGAAGGAAAAGAAAAGAAGGATTTCTTGACAGGAAGCTATTCAAATCCTTATGAAGCAGAGACGGTGTGTTCCTTTGTCAAACTTCTAATTTCGAAGATGATTTCGGGGTCGCAAATTGGAGTGATCGCTCTGTACAAATCACAGGTTGTTAGCATGTTTTCCAGTTTAATTTACTCATTTATCTTCTGCAGGAAAGTTTGATACGTCAAATGCTGTACCCCAAAGATGCGTGTGTTGGTTTTGGAAGGAAGAAAGAAACCGCTCATAGTGAAGTGGAAAATGTTAAAGTGTCAACAGTTGACGCATTTCAAGGCCTAGAGAAAGACGTGATCATCCTGTAAGTTTAACTTCGCGGAAACTTGTTTTTATCTAGCTGTGACAGATCTTGTTGCCGGACGGCTGGTTTGGGATTTCTGGCATCCAAGCAGAGACTAAATGTTGCTCTTACTCGAGCTAGACATCATCTTCTCATAATTGGAAGTGCATCCAACTTACAAAGAAATTCTCTGTGGGAAGAGCTCCTTGAGCCCCTTCGAAGGTATACGTTTACATTTGATTTTATTACTCAGGAATCTTTCGTTTACAGAAATCCGAATACGTTTAGGAGCTCCGAGGACATGAAAAAGGCCTTGCTTGGGTGTTCAGAAGCAGGCTGTTCCAGCGATGGCTCTAAGGACAGCATTGATAGCACCGCTGGTCTAGCAGTTTTAAATCCCCCTCCAAGCATCAGTTTTGAGCTTGACTCAGTAAGTTACAACATGTGTGCAATACTCTAACGAAGATAGGCATTACAGCTTTTTGATGAAGACGATGTCTCCCTTAAGAAATTGCTGGAAGTTTTGGATGACGTAAACTTCAGGTTTGTGGCGTTTTCAAAGCTCGCGTCCCATTCTTTTGAATTTTTTCTTTTGGCAGACCTCGGGATTTCTGGCAAGGCTACAAACTCTATTGCATCGGCCACTATTCGCATTCTCAGAGCCACCAAGATGAGTTTGCACAAACACTCATGGGTAATGGAAAGAAAACTTCGCCTTTCCGAGCGCTGAACTGAGTTTGTTGTGCCTATTTTCTAGCTGATGTCATACGCACAGTTCACGGTATGAGCGAGCTTCAGTGGGGAGGCAAGTTTGACAAGTTCGTCCGGTCCACCTGGTCCACGATGGAAGAGTATATCAAGCGGAGGCATGGTGTTAACTGTGGAGACATAAGGTTTGCTTCCATTTTTTCTCAGAGCTTATCAGCTGACACTCGAAGAAAATCCGACAGGTTTCTCATTCGAGAGTATGACGATTCCCAAGCTCTCGCAGCCAGCGAGCACGGCTCCTTCTTTTTTAAAATGTGCGAGGTATGTCAAAGATTGAGGAGAAAACTCTACTCGATGTTCTTTCCTTGTAATAATTTTTGTTTTCTAGGACGAGACGCCATTTCCTCGGGAGACCAACCCGGACGAACGAGAGAAACCACGACAAGACGAAACAAACAGCGTTATTGACAGTCTCATGGGCCAACTCTCGAGCATGGATGAGCGATTGGCAAAGCTGGTTAAATAGTAAACCAATGAAGAAACCTCTCTTGCCAAGAACCCTAATTTCTAGTCTCTTTTCTTCTACTTGCTCTACCTAGGCGCCGGGGCGATGTTTCTCACCAGGTAGGGCTTTGATCTCACAATCCTTAGCTTACAATCGGAATGCCGCCAGGAGCGAATATGATCGCGGCGTCAACACCTTCTCGCCAGAGGGCCGGCTCTTCCAAGTAGAATATGCCATAGAAGCAATCAAGGTAAGCAGCAGAGCCCAGATCTCCAGCTCCTAGGTTTTGATCGTTCTTGGTGTTTCAGCTCGGATCGACAGCGGTGGGTCTCAAAACGAATCATGGGGTCGTTCTTGCTGTCGAGAAGCGGATTACTTCGCCGCTACTGGTCAGTGGCTGAAATCCTTCGCTTTTTTTTGCTCTTTTGCTCTTTCTTTTGCTCCCACTGATAAGGTTTCTCGCTCTTTCAGGAGCCCGCCAGTGTGGAGAAGATCATGGAGATCGATACGCACATAGGGTGTGCTATGAGTGGCCTCATTGCCGATGCTCGCACGCTGGTGGAGCATGCACGAAACGAAACTCAGGTTGGTTTCTAATCTTCTTTCTCCACTTCCGACTGAAAATGGTGTCTTCTCGCAGCACCATCGATTCTCATACAACGAGCCGATGAGTGTAGAGAGCACAACTCAGGCTTTGTGCGATTTGGCTCTTCGTTTCGGTGAAGGCGATGAGGAATCCATGGTGAGCGGATCTTAAGTTCTTTGTTTTGGCTCTCGACTTAAGATCGTTCATTGTTTTTCTTCGTTCTAGTCTCGACCTTTTGGTGTATCTTTGTTGATTGCGGGACACGACGAGAAGGGACCGTGCTTGTAAGTTTGGCGTGAGCCGGAATTGTGTTCTTCTAACACTATTTTCTGCCAGGTACCACACAGATCCATCCGGGACGTTTTGGCAGTGCGACGCGAAAGCCATTGGCTCGGGCTCGGAGGGTGCGGACACATCCTTGCAAGAGAGCTACAACAAAGTAAGTCTTGCGTTTCTGGACGTAGAAGAAGACTCTAAACATTCGCGATTGTTTCTTTCAGGAGATGACCCTTGAAGAGGCAGAGACGCTTGCTCTATCGACGCTGAAGCAAGTTATGGAAGAGAAGGTAAAAACTTTAGATATATCCTCGTTCACTTTCTCATTTCTCTTCTGTTTTTGTGAAGGTAACGGCTTCCAATGTGGATATCGCGAAAGTGGCTCCAGTCTTTCATCTCTATACACCAGCTGAAGTGGAGGTTGTCATTAGCCGCTTATAAACTTTCAGCAGTGTTGCTCTTCGTTTTTTGCTTGAGGGACTAACTTCTATTCAGCCCGAGTAAATGCAATGAAAGTTCTTTCTTTGAATAAGCTCCAAGCCCACATCGTTCCAAGCTATGATTCTTGCAGCAAACTTGCTGTGCACGATACCAGATGGGAGGCCTCCTCAGGCGAGGCTTGACCACTAGATCTCCATCTTATGCGACCAGCGCGATCGACCAGAAACATATACCTGGGAAGAACTCAAAGTCACAGATTTGTCTCGAGAATGACAGTTCTTTCGCTTACCCAGTTAATCGATTCGTAACGCGTAGCTCTTTCCTGAAGTCGTAAGAATCACCAAATGCGTAGAGTAACTTCCTGTCAGCCTTCGTGCACGCTTTGGACGAGTTTATGCACATGAGAAACAAGTGCCTCACCGGGACGAAGGATAAAACTCCGGATTCCACCCATGAAAGCTGCAATGAAACTAGAAACGTTAGAATGTTTATAGTCGTGAAAATCGACCCGACCTCAATGACTTGGATGTCACTCGTGGAAGGGAAAGCTTCTCGAAGTGGCGAGACCCAGGAATCCACCATTGCCTGCGAAAAAAAGCGAAGCTTTAGTCTTGGATTTTGTTTTCTACGATGTATACCTCGGCACTGTTCCGGAATGACAAGCACACCAACGTAACGCAAGAGTTTCTGTTCAATGGAAAGATGGATGACTCCCTCGTTGGAGTGTAGACTGTCGACTTTGGAAAGATGGTCGCTGATGCTGGAGGGTCTAGCGCTGTGCTCGTCGCTACTACCTGAAAGAAGCAAAGTTGCTCAAGAACAAAGCTCAAGAACAAAATTAAAAATTTTAAAAAGAGAATGCATACCTTTCCACTGTGTTTCTTGAAGTCCTTGAAGTCAAAGAAATAGCCTTGATCGATATCCTCCATTCTGCACTAAAGAATGGAAATGTAGGACACCGCGTCAAAAATTCCTTTGCAAAGAAAGAAGAAATGCAGGGAGGAATTCACGTACATCTTGGCTCGCTCCTTGAGATTCGCAGCTTTGCGATCACCCCTGCTGATCGCCTGATACAATTGGGATAAAGAATTTAGGCCTGCAGATCATGATATTGGAAAACTTACTCTTGAAATCGACCAAAAGAATCGCGCCTGGTCGTGCCGCACGGACTGCTCCTCGCGAATCATCCTACCGGCGAGCGCTCCGCCGGATCCAAGCGCATTCGCAAGGCGCGCGATTGACGCCCTCATGATACTCCCCATTTCGAGATTAGGGTTTAAGCACTCGCGATTGTGCCACGCAAAAACCACTTCAATCTCCACGTGAGATACCAGGTTGGATATTATGCAGACGTGGCAGTGTAGCTCTGCTTAGCTGGCATACAATCTGGCTTTGCCTTTTCAAAAAGTACCAAGAAAACCGGCCCGTCCAAAAGCCCGCCCAAACTCTTTCCCTCTCTCGTTGTTTTAGGTCATTCGTGGAGGAGCCGGAGGCTGGATCTAGGCGCTCGCAGGGAGTCAGGGATCGCGTAGCTTCCAGGCTTGGAAATCCAGGGTCTCAGTCGATTTTCTAGGGTAGAGCACTGTGCGGGGGGGTCTTCGTTGATGCGGCTACGATATTCATGCTGGAGACCACGGATTCTTCGCCGGCTCTGAGCCAAGACACTACTCCGGAGCAGCAGGAGCCAGTCGAATCAGGTATGGAGTCCTAGCTCGGCAGAATTTAGCTCTACTCTTGTTGAATCTCAGTTTTTGCCAAGAAACAGAGAAGATTGCCGCTGTATTTCATGTAAGGCACCGTCTTTTCTTGGGAGGCCGGGTTTTTTTATGTTGTTCTAGTTCTAGTTCTTGGTTTTTTTTACATGGACCGGACATTTTGACTCTTTATCTTTGTTCTTTCAGGAAAAAGGACGCGGCAATGGGCAGCGTGGACTCATGAAGAAGAGGAAAAGTTTTTTTCCGCGTTACGACAAGTTGGCAAGGTACTATCGCAGTGACACTTTCCAATGTAAAGAACTTTGAGTACTATTTGCAGGATTTCGAGAAAATCACATCTCAAGTTGTGAGCAAAAATAAGGATCAGGTGCGTTGTCTGGATGCAAGTATGCTGTTTAGCTTTATATCTTCTTTTAGGTCCGGCATTACTACTATCGCTTGATTAAGCGCATGAACAAGTTCCTGCGATCAGATCTTTTGATAGATGCGAGGAACTCCAAAGATGTAGATTCGGCGATGTTGTGCTGGTGAGGTGGATCTCATTTGTCTGAGACATTTAAATGTTCTGTTTCAGGTGGTCGCTTTTGGAGAAGTTTAAGTGCTCGTCTTCTAAGCTTCATTTGAAGCCTCGGCGTTTGAAGGCTATTGCGACTGCTTTGGTATGTATGTTCATTACTGTGGACTCTCCTGATGCATTTTTATGTCTAATTTAGGAGCAACATCGTCTGAAGGATAGGAAGAAAGCTAAAAAGAAGGTTAAAGCTCCCTCAACAAGCACGGACAAACCTGCCAGTGTTGTTGCTGGTGAAGTCAGGAAAAGATCGTTCACGAGAGCTCCAGTGAGGCCTCAAGTTAAAGCAGCTAGTGGTACGCTTCTTGTTTGCAGGTTTTTATGTGTGTTAAATAAAAATTTGTATGCAGATAGCGTCTTGGAGCCCCCTGAATCCGAGCTAAATAGCAAGATCATTGAAGGTGGAAAGCCGGAAGAAAATAATATGGAGAAGCAGAACTCTGTATCAACACCCACGCCCTCTGAGCCTAACTTGAAGTCTAGCACATCTGTTCCTCAAATGGAGACTGCGGTTTTGAAAATCAAGTTGCAGCTTTTCCCAATTGACGACAAGACTAAAACAGCACTGGAGCAGGTATCTTAAAAACTTGAGTATTCAGCTTACAACCATTTTTAACAAATATTGTTTGCTACAGGAGGGTCACAATCCACACCTTGAGTTGACACTCAAGGCCTCGAAAAGCATAAGCTCTGTGCTACAGCACTTGTCTCAGAAATGGGGTCGCTGCTCTGTGGCTACTGGAGATATTCGTCTCTATCCTTTCATTCGACAGCCTTCCTCTACAAGCTGGAACTCGAAAGATGTGGTGTGTGCTGCAGACGTTTACGATGCCGTAGGAAGACCTTCAGTGTTTCGCTTGAGGTAATGCCTGTTTTTTCTTTTGCGTTCTTTAGTTTGGAGTTGCTAACTTCACTGCCACCATGCTATGCTGGACAGGTATGGCTGGTGCCAAAATGTTTGTGAAAAGAGTTCAAAATCTGGTGCGGAGCCAGTCACTGTCATCGAGAGACATGAAGATCATTCTCAACTGGATTCTCAAGTACCTGGCTGTAGCTGGTTGTATGATAGAAGTACGGATGGCTTCGGCCAGCGGCTTTGGCGAGATGAGGTAAGCTATCAGTTCGACGTACTTCTTTATTCCAAATCTTGCGGGCTTTTGCAGGAATTACTGGGAGCTTCTTCGGTTGATCGCTTCATTGTATTGAATGACGCCTCCAAGCAGGACGCCGATCGATATTCTTTGACGCCTTCGGTGTGGGGAGGCGAAGAAACATGCGATGCGTTTTCTTTTAAAACGAAGGAGCACATTCGAGTTGTGCCACCAGCTCGGGTATGCATGCTTCCAGCGTCTCTCTGTGTTTGATTTACTCCAGCGTTTTATCCAGGAATCTGCCGCTTGTTCGCTACTCGGGACGTCGCAAGGCACATCCAGCTTTGATTTGTTCCGCTCATCGTCAAACGCGGACGTGCTCCGCTCATCGGCTTTGGACCTGTATTGGGTGAGCGATTCTTCATTGCAGTGGAAGACTTGTTTTTGCATTAAAATTTGCTCGTGTACTCTCCTGTTAGGCCGATTCATTGGGAGCTGTAGATGGGACGTTCGCGCACGGGCAAAGCCTGCTGTTAAACGGGAACTCATCGCTCGGAGGTGGTATATCTACGAGTTTGTTCCCGGACAGCCCGGACGCCTTTGCTCAACAAACTCCAGGCGTGCTACTCTCGCCTAATGACATCCACATGGTTGAAGTGGATCGTCAGTGAGAGAGTGCATCCATCTGGACTCCCGGGTTGTTCAAGCACAGTTGGGATGGAAACCATCGGCGGTGTTTTAACTTTTCTTTCCAACCAACAAACAGCAGCATTAAAATGATCTTCGCAGCGAGCTGGGAGAAAGAAATACGTAAGTACTTTTCTCGTGCTTTTGACGCTCACCTTTGTTAAATGCCGCTGCTGAAAGCCTCGGCTTGTGCTGCAATGGCGAAAAGGTTGTTGTGCCCATTGCTTGGCTCTAAACATTTTTGCTTGTTCCTTTCTCAGGTTCGCACTGATGCTTGCTTGATGCATTGCAACTTCATGGAGGACATGGCTACTTAAAAGACTACCCGGTAACAGGACAAGCTAGTTGTGGCTGTTGTAAATAATTTATTGTTTTCCAGGTTGAAAACCTGTGAGTCCAAACCATTTCGAGAGTCTCGGTTTAACTTCTCCACTGCCAAAGACGCATGTTGTGCAGCCAGTTTGATCACCACCACATGCATGTCAACCAAGAAACATTTGCTTTGTGAGACTTTAATGGTAGATTAAGATCTCTTCAGAAACATTTGTTTTGTAGTTACACGTAATTTTGCCCATGAAATTAATATTATTGCTTGTCCAAATGTCCATTTTATAGTTGTAAAAGAAGGGTCTGTTTTGGAGTTTAGTAAAGAATTTAAAAAAAAAAATGAAATAACAAAAATACTTCAATGATTTAGAAAATAATTTGAAAAAAAAAGAGAAAATGAAAAATGAAATCAAATGCACTCCAAAGTTTGGCTACATAAACCACAAGTAGTTATATAGGTTTTATTAATCCTCTTTCTATTTTTGGTTTTTTATTTAATTTTTATTGTGAACATTTTGCACTATATATATACTCAATTATCTAAAAATAACTATTTAATTTTTAAAATAGTTTCAAAAAATTTTATTTTAATGTTGCATGGTTTTAAAAGCAATAAAGTAATCTAGAAAGGTTATACAGATTTTATTGTGAATTTAAATCATTTTTTAATTTCCAATTTTAAATTTTAATAAATATTTTAAGTGGGTTTTTATTTACTTTATATTAATAATTTTAAATTATTTATATTTTTATGATATAGGATTTTGAGTGGGTTCCTTGTTGCTCACATGCATTTGAAAATTTAGGGGAATTTACTTGAAAATCTTTGAAAAATAAAAGTTAAATTTTCTTCTCTTTTTTATATCAGTGGAAACTTTAAAGGACATATTGATGAATACACATGAGAAATAAAAAATGGTAATGTGTGGCTTATAGATTTATTGGAAAGCTAATAAAGGAATTTTAAAATTTAGAGTAAATTTTTAGTATTTGATAAAATAGAATATTTAGGAGAATATTAAGGATTAAGTGAATAATGCTTCTTTAGTATTAATGCACTTTAATGGTGAATTAGGATCTCTTAAACATAATATAAACTTTATAAAGATATTTTAATTTATATTCGTTTCATCATTATATAATAAGTGTTTGCATTTTGGACCTTAACGATTTAAGAAAGAATTCAAACACAAAAGAGAATATAAAATGAATATGAATGCATTAGGAAGTTTGGCCAACATGAGTACTATATATATACTACTTATATTTAATTTAAATTGTAGTTATTTTAATGAAAGTTTTGTTTTTATATATATTTAAAATGGTTCCAAGAAATTTTATTTTTATATTCAAATCTAGAAAGGTTGAATAATTGTTTTTAAAGTGTAATCAATTTTAAATTTACATTAAAAAATAAGTAGAAAGCCAGAAATAAAAATAAGAATGAAGTTGGGTAACATAAGTATTGTATATATATCAGCTATATTTATTTTTAATTACAACTATTTAAATGTAGGGTCTCATAGTTAAATGTTTTTAAAGTGGTTCCAATTTTTCATATTGTATGATTTTAAAAGTCATAAGATAGTAATCTAGAAAGTTTATATAATTTTTATTGTAAATTTAAATCATTTTTTCTGTTTCTAATTTAAAATTTCAATAGAGATTTTAAGTGGGTTTTGTACATAATTTTTATTAAGAATTTAAAATTCCTTCTTTGTTTATGATAATATATTTAAGTGGGTTCTCTCTTGTTCATGTGTACTTGAAAATTTAAGAAAATTTCTTAAGAATCTTAGAGGAATCAATCATCTAAGAGCTCAAATATTTTTATCTCTATTTCTTTATTTTTTATATCTTTGGAAAGTTTAGAGAATAGACTCATAGATACATATGAAAAATCAAAGAAGGCAACTATGGCTTGCTTGTTTATAGGAAGGGTTGATAAAAGAATTTTAAAATGCATCGAGTGACTTTTGTCAATGTTAGTCATAAACAGTCAAAAGTTATCAAAATAAACAAAATAATAGTGTATACCACTATTGTCAAGTGTGCTATTGGAGTTTGCATCTCTACCATTAGGTTGTTATAATAGAAGCAAACAAAGGACATATTAAATATTAGGAATGCTATTGTGCTCCCCATCAAATTACTATATCTTCAACTACATTATAAGATGTTTAAACACTTGCTTAATATCTTTTGATGTACTGTCAACACAAATGTTGCAAGGTTTTTATAGACATTTGCCTTGCCTTACCATATATCCAATAGGATCAAATTTACTTCCAAAAGCAATGGTTGAGAACAATGTCAACAAAAATAACCTTGGCTTGAGAGTGTCTTCCTTGTATCACCAGCCAATGACAGACAACATTGCTGGTATCTAATAGTTTTTATCTATCATATAATTTATTTTATAAAAAACATAAAATTGCAGTGGATGTAAATGTTAGTGGTTCCCATAACATTAGTGGTATGTTCTATCATTTTATTTGCCTTTTAATGCTTCTTTTAACTATAAAAACCTATCATATGTTTTCATAGGTATGTTAAAATGTTTTGCATACTTACCATATAATAGGATGGCATTCTGTTGCACAAGAATTGCATGGAAACTTTCCATTTATTCAATTTAGCTAACATCTACCACTCCAAATACATCTACTTCTACAGCTATTGATAGGCAATCAATCTTGATTTTACTTTATATTCTCATTTCTCATTAGTTTTTTCACAACTAAGCATTAAATTTGTGATATTTCACAAAATAGTTTATGGTGTTTGATTACCAATAGCCTCTTTGTATCTAGTGGCCATTGCTTTGCTGAATTGTATTGTGGACTTGTAGTTTTTATTTAGTAGTCAACAACTTCTACTATATCCATTATCTCACTATAGAACTTATTACAAGTTTCACAACAAACCATTTAAGATTGGATCCTCATCTTTCCTCAACATTAACTTCATAGACATTGGTGGTGTTCACTTTGAAACTACCTCTCTCCCCCACTATTAATCTCTCCCAACATGCTATAAATTTTTTGCAATTTATTTTTACATAGTAAGTGGCTTTATGTGCAACACTTCAATGTTAAATCTAGAACCCAAAGTTCTATAGAGGTCTTATAGATATGTTAATTTACATTATCACCTCTTCCTTGGTTCATGGTTCCCATCATTGAGGCCTCATGTGCTGGATATAGTTTCTGCATAACTTCGCACTAGAAGCTATAGCATTTTGTAGCATTGCTGTAGTTATTTCTTCAATTGACTTGAATGAGCAAGGCATAAAATATCATATGTCACTAATGACTTCAAATATGTATAGAACTTTCACCTCCCTATAATGCATAGATTCAAATTTCAACAAATATGTCTTTTGTCTACGATAAAATCAAATCACAATGTTTTAAATGACAAAGGCCAGTCAAGATCTTTTACAATCTTGAAGGCACCAATGACCAAGATGTTTTCAAGGTAGCACCTTAGACTATAGTATCTAAGTTGTTAGGTGGGGTGCTTAGGTTTAGCTGATTTAGTTGTGTTTACTTTTTTCTTCCTCTTTTTATTCTCTTCTTTTTTGTTTTTGTGTGATACCGAAAAAGAGCTTTAGCACACAGAAATTCATCCATAATATATCTTATAATCAGTTATGAACAAATCATGTTTAGAAGTTGTTGTATATTTACTTCAACAATCGATGTTAGTCCAAAGTTAATAAGAACTACTTCTACGTTAAAGCAATAAAAGTTTAATCCCTATCAGACATAGAAGATATGGCTCCTATAAGCACCAAAATTAACCAATCAATTGGTATGTTTTGTAGGAGGACAAAGAGGAGATAATATCACTATACAAAGGCAAAAGAAGACATTGCAGTAGATGATGACAACAATGATATATGTAAAGGATGATTAAGGGTAGTTAATTTTTAATGATCAACCTCAATTGCCTAATAAGTCAAACAACCATATATATATTATATATATTTCTTAATGTCTAACTTCATCCCAATCCAAAAAAAATGCCTCATCACAAACATATAATCCTCAATATTGTTGAATGCCCAACACTTGGCTAGTGATATTGACAATGACAACTTTATCATGAGACCAACAGATGGAATGTTAAAGTTGTTTTTAATGAACTGTAGAAAAACAATGATCCAAAAGTGTGTTGAAAGTCCTGAGGAAGTCTTTAGTGAGTTAGAGTGGCCTGGAGCAAGTCCTAGTATAAAAAAAAAGTTGTCACATTGTTTGGGTTGGAGAATTTTAGTGAATAGCAGTGTTCCCATTAGGTTTGAAAAGGCTATTTATTTACACAATTTATACCCTGTGGCTAAATCTTTGCCACAGTGTTTGGGCATAAGTATCAAAGGGATACTTGGCACTGATTGCTCCTCTGTTTTCTCCTCTTTGTGCTCCTCTGTGTGCTCCTCTGTGTGCTCCTTTTTGGCATGCAATCTGTCAAGCTCCTTGAGGAGTTTGGCATCCTCGTCAATGTCCTCGTCACTAGAACTCTCGCTCTCACTCTCTTCACTCTCGCTGTCACTCTCTTCACTCTCGTTCTCACGCTCTTCACTCTCGTTCTTGAGCTTCACACCCATATTACCCAAATCCATGGCCTTTTCAACCTCATTCCCTCTAGCCTCTGCCACTGATCCCTTTGGCAGTAGCAGTGGCCAGTCCCGAGCAACTGCCCATATGGCTTGTCCACATCGCCCGCCTGCGCCTTTTACCGGTGCCCACGTTGGCGCCATGACACGAACCTTGTCCCGCTTTCGTGAGCCCTTTGGTGCCATGCCCACAAAACCTTGCCCTACGTAATCCTTTTTATATAACATTACCCTTTTAGCCGATTGCCCAAGAAATGAGCTTTACGTGACTAAACGCCGAGGTCGCCCGGACAAGCGCCCCGGCAGCGTCCGCGACAGGCGTAGCCGCGTCTCTCAAAAACTCATGGCTACTTCGTCTGTGAGCCAGCAGCCCGAGACATTCTTCTTCGTCTTCCGGGCCTCGGCCGATATCACCTCCCACAGGTATATCGTCTGCTCGAACGTCACCGGAACAGCACGGAGGCACCAGGTGCTCAGGCCCACCACCTTGATGATATCCGAGGTCCCGTTTAGCTGCCGCAGGATGCCCAGCCGGAAGCTGTGCCGCGCCGTCGTCCATGAACGCCACGAACGGCGAGAGCAAGCCACTCATCCCTGGCAGTAGCCCGTGTCCGGATCGTAGAGCGCGTAGGCCTCGAGGATGGAGACGAGCCTGGCGGCGGTAGCGGCGGCAAGTTTCCAGGTGCTCGTCGTCGGACAGACCGGCCTTGCGGGCTACTTTGGAACGTCTCCTCGTCCTTCACGTTGGCCTATGGAACCCACTCGGCGTTCATCCGGACGGCGTCCAGGCGGATGATCCTTTGCCAGGTAACTATGTCGCCCACTGCCTTGGGTCCTTTCTTCCAGAACGCGCTGCTGTCGTCGATGCTGCTGAATGCTTCGATCTGGCTCTCGGAGAATGGCATGAGTTCGTGTTCTTCTTCTTCTGCTTGTTCTTCCATGCCATGCTCTCCTTCTCTTCTGGACGTGAGTGATTGCTTGATTTCTTGGCAGTAGCTTCGTATCTTTTCGTATTTCTTCCTGCAGGCGAGTTTCCAAGCAAAGTTTAGTTTTTTGTGCGTATGGGACCTTCGGAAACTTGCTCGTTACCTTTCTTTCTGCCTCGGTGCTATCAACCTCTCAACCTCGTATCTGATAAAAGGTATGAAAAAGTTTGAAACTTTGAACGTATGAAAGGATTTCTAACACTCACATAATGGCCACACTTGAGCTCGAATTCCGCTCTATGCACTGTCACGACGCACATCACAGTTCATCCTTGAGACAACTCTAGAACACTGGAAAAACTGGTAAAACAAAGAAAGAACTCACCCCCCAGCGAACTTTGTGAATGAGCTTTTCGGTTCTGTTATTGAGAGGCGGCCTTCATTCCCGAAACATTCCTCCCATTGCTGCCATCGCTTTCCCTGGAAGAAACCAGCAAACCAACAAGAGGATCAAAAAGATGGCCAGCCGGCCAGCCAGCCGCTTAGAGAAGGAATAAACACACAAGAAATCAAGAAGAAAAAATTCGAGGGAGCGGAAGCTACCGCTACCTCTTGGAGGAGGAATAGTAAGGCTTGGTTTCTTCTGTGAGCATTGCCTTACCCCATGTCCAGTGGTCTCACCACCACCACATCTCCACACATCTGTGAGAACAAAGGCAGCAAAGAGCTCCAGGAACAAGGAAAGCAATCGCAAGAAATTCATGCATCCAGTTCCATTCCATTCTCTAGGCATCGATCGATGGAAATTTTGCCTCAAATTTGCGAGAACGGATTGTTGGGAAAGCTTACCGATCCTCCAAAATCAACCGCGACGGCGACGGCGACGGCGACCGCGGCGACGGCGGTGATCTCCACGCCCACCACAACCGCGGTGGCGAATGAGTGCCGGACATTTGGATCCCGCCCAGCGTGTCATACACCACGCCGATCAGCTCCTTCTTCACGGGAGGAACCCTAAATTCCGGATTGGAGAAACGAAACGAGCATATTCTGACTTGCCGCACGAACAGCAGCCCTAGGGTTTGTGGGGAGGGGTTAGATCAGGGGAGCAAAGGGCACAGAATAGGGGAGCTCCACACTCCACGCCTCACAATTCCTTCGTCAGCGTGCTCACAGCCATCCCCGGTTCGAATCTCGCCCGAGCTCAAAGCTAAAACCTTGGTTCCGCCACGTCGGATACATTCAAATGGAGCTCGCGGCAAGGAGTAAGGAGCGACTACTTGTAGCCACATTTCATTTGCCAGGAGCTAGGGTTCGTCGCTGCTGGTGGATTGCGCCTTGCCGCTTGCGACCGCTGCTGTTTGCGCATTGCCGCTGCCTGTGGATTGTGCATTGCCGCTTGCGGCCGCTGCCGGATTGCGCATTGCCGCTGCTAGATCGCAGGTTGCCGCTGGCGCTGTGCATCGGATTGAAAGGTAGGACTTCGTTTCTGCGATGATTCTCGATCCTCAGTGTGTGGCTTTGCAGCCGGAGAGACGCATAGCAGATCTTGCGATGGATAACAAGGTAAAGCTGTGCTGTGCGATGATCGAGACACGATATTACGGGCCATTGCCACTGTTTCTAGGATCAGAAGATCGACAACGAGGCGCCAAGCCAAGAGGTACGTGAAAGTTTTCTGTGAGATAGCTTTGTATGTATATTCTTTTGCTTCTGGTAGTGTCAAGGACATCCGACGCCGCTCTTTCAGTCCTGCGACAAGAGCACAAGGACGCATGACAAACAAAGCGTTACTGGTGTTCTCCACGATCAAGCACGCACGGACGAAGAAGTACAGGTAGTTCCATCAAGTTAGATATGTCGTGGTGACCCTGTTCGTTGGCACAGGTGATGCAAGGGTCTGGACTTTCAAGCCAGCCGCAGTGCAATTCTTGCACATTTTCCGACAATGAGGCGCCACACCAAGAGGTACATGGGAGTTTTATGTGACATAGCTTTGTATACTACTTGTTTGGCTTCTGGTAGCTACAAGAACATCCGGCGCTGCTCGCAAGCTACAGATTTCAGTCCTGCGACAAGAGCACAAGGACGCATGGCAAACAAAGCGTTACTGGTGTTTCCCACGATCAAGCACGCACGGACGAAGAAGTACAGGTAGTTCCATCAAGTTAGATATGTCGTGGTGACCCTGTTCGTTGGCACAGGTGATGCAAGGGTCTGGACTTTCAAGCCAGCCGCAGTGCAATTCTTGCACATTTTCCGACAATGAGGCGCCACACCAAGAGGTACATGGGAGTGTTCTGTGACATAGCTTTGTATACTACTTGTTTGGCTTCTGGTAGCTACAAGGACATCCGACGCTGCTCGCAAGCTCCAGCTTTCAGTTCTGCGACAAGAGCACAAGGACGCATGATAACCAAATCATTCCTGGAGTTTGCCATGATCAGGCACGCACGGTCGAAGAAGTACAGGTAGTTCCATCAAGTTAGATATGTCGTGGTGACCCTGTTCGTTGGCACAGGTGATGCAAGGGTCTGGACTTTCAAGCCAGCCGCAGTGCAATTCTTGCAAAGCTTCCAACAATGAGGCGCCACACCAAGAGGTACATAGGAGTGTTCTGTGACATAGCTTTGTATACATACTTGTTTGGCTTCTGGTAGCTACAAGGACATCCGACGCTGCTCGCAAGCTCCAGCTTTCAGTCCTGCGACAAGAGCACAAGGACGCATGATAACCAAATCGTTACTGGAGTTTGTCAAGTCCATGATGAAGCAAACACGGACGACGAAGTACAGGTAAGTGTACTTCCATCAAGCAAGATATGTCGTTGTAACCCCGTTAGTTGGCACAGGCGATGCAAGGGTGTGAGCTTTCAGGCCAGCCGCAGTGCAATTCTCTCGGTGATACTCTCGAAGAGAATGGTGACAAGGTAAATGGCTTACTATTTAAAAAAGTTATTGTAGCGCGTCATCTAAACCTCGTACGTTACAGTATATGTTTCCCAAGAATGTCATTCAGTACGTGATGGTCGGAAAGCTTCGAAACTTCGGACGTGTTGTAGAGAACATTGGTGTTCTGTTTCCGGGTCTCACAAGGTGCCTGATTTATTGGTCTGATACTTCGTCGCAGCTCAAAACCGTGGGAGATATTGTGGAAGCAAAAACAGGGCAGCCAGCTCAGATTTGGCTCAGCTACCAACAGCCAACAGCCAGGTTCATCATATTGACGGACGGGTGCAAATTAGACACCATTCCAGATGGTGTAAATGCTGTTATTTCCTATGGTCTTCCCAAGGACCCGACAAGCTATTGCAAAAGACTTTCTGCTCTGAAGGGTGGTGGAATGTTTATTGTACTTCTTCGAGATTGGAAGGAGAGGCATGGTCTTCTTCAACCGTGGATTAAGATCATCCCACAAAAGGTATGTGTCTTTTCATTTCACTTTCTCTTGTCTCATTTCACTTTTTTTTTAATGTGTGTTCAGAAATGGCAGACGCTGGTGGTGAATCCACTCATTCGAGAGTGGCATCTAGACTACACGGAAGCACTGCAAAAGCTTGGTCTTCCTATAGAAGCCGCTATGTTGGGAAAACTATTCGTGGCTGCGCAAAAGCGAGTGTCTTATGAATTCAGCGAGTGTCGCATGCATCTGGAAGACATTGAAAACACGTTGGACAAAACATCGTTGCATCCGTCATTCAGAGACGCTCTACAGTGGCAGCTCTACGAATACTTCAGGTATACCGAGGACATGAAAGGACTCTACCACCACGGGTTATCAATCCTGGCATGTTTGCGAGCAGCTTATGAAGACACCAGAGAGGTATCTATCTACGACTTCTCAAAATAACATATTGTTACTCTGTGTGTGATAGCGTATCTTGGATGAAATGGTATTCGCTGCTATTTTCACTGGCTGTGACTTTGGTGACCTCCTAACCTGCCAAGCGGATCTGGTAAGGTTTTAAGTTGATTTTGAACAGTACCATTTATCATGAATTATTCAGGGAGAAAAACGACGTTGTCAACTCACCACGTTCAACACTGCCAATGTCAAGCTTTACACGGAAAAGATCTTTCCAGCCGTTTACTTTGAAAGTTTTCCACGATTCAAGTTTGAAGTAATGAAACTGAGGTGTCTAATCACGAGGTATGATGTTCAAGTCTATGTTTGATAAAATCTAAAACTTTGTGTTTGTTCCTAGCTGTGGAACATATCAATTGCCTTTGTTACAGAAAGAAGTGAACCGTGACGTGGAATTCTTGCTCATGCACATGTTCTCTGAACACATTCTTGAAGGAATCATGGATGGCGTGGATGCCACTGTTACCATCACGTGGATAAAACCACGAACTCTTGTCACCACCCAAGCAATTGAACAGCTGCGAGAGAGATTTGCAACTTGGGAGCTCAGGGTCACCTCGACAGTGGCTGGTAAGTGTCGTGGTTTTGTAATGTTCTTCCTTTTCTAATCTTCTAACTTCCTGTGTAGAATTTGAACGAGCTATAGAACAGAACTTAGAGTAGACTGCAATTCCGCGGGGCTTTCTTCGTAACAGTGAGTATTGTCTTTATGTTGTTTCTTATTAACTGTCATTTTTGTTTTTGGCTCGACAGTCTTTTTCTCTTCGAGCGCCACTAAGGCTAACATCCATCATCTCAACCCAAGACAAAATAGGAGTAGCGGGAATCGACAACTGTTGTCACGATCTTCCAGGTCCCCTACATCAACTCAAGGTACCTATCTGTAGATAAGAATTCGAGTTCTAATGCCAATCTTCTAGCTGAATCCTCCTACAACCACCAGGGCCTTGAAGTGATGACGCTCCAGACACATCTGACGTGCCTCCGTGTCGTCATAATTCTGGTAAACAGTGTAGTTTATGGAAGCCAACACCGTCCTGTGACATTTGTAACAGCGGGAGGTTTTCTACAGGGTCCACGTGTCCTACTAGCAAGAGAGTGGAAGGGCCTGTGGAGTAGCAAGAGAGTCGAAGAGACGCGTGGAGCAATGGACGTGACTCGATCAAAGTCTATAGCAAAACATACTTGTAGTAAATCGTTCTTCTTTCTGTAACGGGCTAATGTTGGAGCTAACAAAGAAAATGGTCCAACCTCCAAACGAGCATGGTGTGGCACGCCCGGCAAGATGCCGTTTCTCCAAGTTACGATCAAGAGGCATGACGAACCCGGTCTAGGAATATTCCAAATTCAGTGGTTTATAAACTAACAAATCTGATCGAAATCCTCTCCACCAGCATCTTCTGCCACCGCCAACACCCCTTGAGCACAAACGACCGGCATCATAGAAGAACCATCGATAAGATGCCCAAAGTTCTCAGCATTTCCCCATTGTTGGTATAGCCTTGAATTCGTTCTAAACTGGATTGCCCTGGTTGTGTGCATGTTCAGCTTAGTTCTAACAGTCCCCCCTAAGCTGAACACGCCACACATCCCTACCTGCTGCCTACCACAGGCCATAGCTCCAATACCATGTTGGAAAATGGATCTGGACAGGCCGGGGATTGAACCCAGGACCTCCTACACTGGTGCCAAGTACTCTACCAGTAAGCTACCTGCCCTGGCTGTGTGCATGTTCAGCTTAGTTCTAACAGATACAACATGCCTTTGAGCCCTCCCAGAATCACAGCACTCAGCTTGTAGCTTCTCATGTGCTGCTGCTTTCAGTGTTCTGGAAGAACTGGAAGGAAATACTAACTTGCCAAGAACAAGCTCTTCTTATTGCTTCTGCATGTTCTTCCCACATCTCAGCTCCAGTATATCCAGCTTCATCCTTCTCTACCTCCACCTCTAGTGCTCCCAACGCTTGAAATGCCATCTTTCCAATCTTCACCTTCTGCCACTTTCAGGCTGAGGCTAGCACTGTCTTCCACCACGACACTCAGGAGCAGCATTCCTTTCACCTCTGCCTCCTGTTATGAGACACACCTCGCCCCATATACATCAGGTCTGTTTGCTAGTGCAATATGCTTGATCCTGATTTTTTTCATAGTATAGGAGTTATGGAAGGAAAGCTATCCATCTGTGAATTTGATGGAGAAGGGATTCTTGAATCTTACCTTTTGTTTCATGGTTTGTTAGGGATTGTAGATGGGACATTTCCCATCTCCCAGCTCTAGTGCTGTTGAAGTGCATGACTGGAACCTCTAGGATTCCAAAGCTATAAGGAGCATTGTGATATGTTTGCCCTTAAATGTTCTCTTTGCTACTCTATCGATTCCCAAGTCTATTGTGGCAGCACTTTGGAAGTGGTTGAGGGACACCTATGGTGCCAAGACTGAGATTAATGTCTTCAACATCCATCCATTCACAATGGTGACACAAACCATGGGAATATTCTAAGAATATTTTATGGCCATGGGATTTAAGGTTGTAATGCCTTAAAACTTGTTCATTTCATTGGTATCGGAGCAACATGTTCTTTTAGGGATGGCAAATGAGCAAGATATTAATCTTGATGAGGAGTATGGTGTTGTTGATGATGGCCATGATGATGAGGAAGAGACTCTTGATGATGTTGTTGTGCGGCAAGAATGCTAAATTTCTGAGGTTCAAAACAACATTAAGGAGGTTAAGGATTCCATCAATCTCATTAAGGATTTCTTGCTTCATATGGATCCTCAAAGGGTTGAATCAACCTTACGTCTATGATTATCATTAATATGTCAAACATGCTAAAGATTATGGTATTATGGAATGGAAGTCATTGCCAAATGTTTATAATAGTCAAAAGGTTGATTCTTAGTTAGAATTGTGGGAAAGTTGTTAGTCTCACAATCCTTGTGAGGATAAAGTGAAGATTGATTTTTTTGTGATAATGCTTACAGATTATACTTCTTTATGGTGGAAGAATTACATCAAAGCTAATCCAAAACTGACTTTTTAGAGTGATTTAATGAAATTTTTCCATACTTTGTTTGTCAAGAAGTTTAAAGAGGTTAATCTTGTGAACTAGGTGTTAGAGATTTAGTAGGGGACTTTGTCTTTGGATGCATATACTTGCAAATTCTGTGATCTTTGCCTTAGTTTTACGGGCATCTATAAAGGTGCAATGTTTTATCAAAGGTTTAAGCTTAATGGCTATGTAATAAAAGGTTAAAAAGGATTTTTTAGCAACATTGACTGATGCTATCACTAACATCTTTTCACCCAAACCATCAGTCAATTTAGTCAACTCTTGTCAACAGGATAGATATGATGAACCAATACTTCATATTCAAGGAAGAAACAACTGTTGATACATTGGGGTTCGAAGCATGAAGATGGCAATGAGGTTAAGAAACTGCATGTAAGCAATTAAAGAGAACGACTTGAGAGATAGTCCATAGGGTTTAAATATAGAGGGAAAGGGCCCATGAATAAGAGTGCACCCCCTTTTTCTAATCAGTTAAGAGTCTTAGGATACTTAGGGTTAAGTGTCCTTGGGTTTGAATAGTATTGGGCTAAGTGACCTCCTTGGAAGTCCAAACTCAAGAGCTTACACTAGATTTGGGTTAACAAGAAAAGGATAAAAAAGAGGGCAATTGTTTTTGTTACCATAGGGATGGACATTAGAGCAAGGATTGTTTTGAAGGGGTAAATGAATGATAAAGTGACTGTAATAGAATCTATAAGCAATGATGTGAGTGATAGTGTTTTTGGGGCCATATTGCTTCAAGTTAGGCATTCTCTTGTATACATGATTCACAAATTTGATGCCATACAACGGAATTAGCCTACTCAAGATAAAGAGTTGTATATTGTGATTACTACTATGAAAGAATGGCAACATTATCTATATGGATCAAACTTTTATGTGGATTTAGATCATCAATCTCTCTAGTATTTTAGCTAACAAAAGGATCTTTGAAGCTGCCTTGCTCATTAGGAAGAGTTCCTATATGAAATGTCTGTTAAGATCCGATACAAGCATGGAGGTGACAATGAAATGGTTTATGCATTATCCAAGATGTTAAATTTTATCTCATTTATCACTGATATTCTTGTGAAGGTTTTGTTAAGAGACACCTTTACAAATTTGAAAAGTGACAAGTTTGTGTCATTTGAGATATGAAATGGAATCCTAGTGAAAAAGGGACATGTGCTAGTTCCTTGTGTTGACAAACTCATCAAAAGGATTTTAGTTAAATCCAAGGGTATTGAGAATGTATATGTTAATGAAAAGGCATTTCTTTTGGCCTAGGATGAAGTTAGATTTTGAGAAGTATGCATGTGATTGTTTGACCAGCCAAGCGGTCAAAGTTGATCATCAGAAGTTTGCTAGCCTCTATCATCCTCTATGTGTACCAAAAATAATTAAGATAGTATCTTAATAGACTTTATTATTAGTTTGCCCAAGACTTTTCAAGGAAATGATGCTATTTGGGTTGTTGTGGATTGTTTAATGAAGATGGCTCACTTCTTCCTAGTGAAAACGACTATTAAAGCTTTTGAACTTGCTTAATTATTTATAAACTAATTATTTAATCTTTATGGTTTGTTAGGTGACAATATGAGTGATTAGGATCCCAAGTTCATATCCAAGTTTTGGCAAACGGTCTTTAAGAAGCTAGAAACTAAGTTGAGCATGAGTAGTGGTGAGCATCTACAATCAAATGGGCAGACAAAATGTATGAATTAGCTGTTGGAAGATATGTTAAGGTCATTTATGGGAAATTTAACTCAACAGAGAGTATAGGAGAAGTACTTGTCTTTGCTTCAATTTACTTACAATAGCGCTCATCAATCAACTATTGACATATCTCCATTTATAATGATATGTGGTTATAAGCCTAGATCTCTCATAAGTTTAAGTTTAGCTTTGGTTCAAATACTTTATGTTTATGATTTTTTGGAGGATATGCAAGACAAGCTTGACTCGGCAGAGGCAAGTTCAAGATCAAGACAAAAGACTAGTTAATAAACATCATTGTTATCAAGAGTACAAAGTTGGTGACAAAGTTTTCTTTAAGCTATTGGATGCACAACGGTCTTTAAAAGGAAGTGGCAGTGCTAAGTTGTCTCTATGGTATTATGGGCTTTGACAATTTTATAGTATGTGGGGGATCTTGCATACACTTTGAAATTGTCAGCTAGTTTGAAGATTCATCCAATATTCCATGTGAGCAAAATTAAAGCATGTTTGCACTTTAGTGATATTATGGATCAATCCATCATTTAGGTCCTAGACATTGATGCTGGTTTGGCTAATATTCTTACTCAAAGATTGGTGAAAACACACTAGAAGACAACTATAGAGTTGTTAGTTTAGTAGAATGGTTATTCCATAGACGAAGCTACATGGGAAACTAAGGATGACATGAAAAAAGTGTTTCCAAGTTTTGATTATAACTTGGATAACATTCTTGAGGAAGAGGAGAATTGAGTTTTATAGCTGTATTGTTATATAATTTAAGCCATTTGTTTTATTTTCATTCTCTTATTTCTATGATTGTATTGTCATGTAAGAAAGCTGTATTGCTTTCTTTCTTTCGTGCTTATTTGTCACAATGTTGGTATTGTTGTTTGCATATCTCTTCTCCATGGTTGTATTGCCTTGGACTCCCTTCATGTGAAGCTTGTTTAACTTCTCGAGGTTGCCATACGTGGCTGGGTTATGAAGGAGGGGAGAATGACACAAACCACAAGAATATTCTAAGAATATTTTAAAACATATTGTAAATAACTAAGAACGACTTGAGAGACGATCCATATAAAGAGAAAGGGTCCATGAACAAGAGTGCACCTTTTTTCTAATCGGTTAAAAGTTTTGGGATATTTGGGTTAAGCATCCTTGGGTTTAAATAGAACTATCCTTGGGTTTGAATAGTATTGGGTTGGGTGACCTCTTGGGAAGTCTAAACTCAAGAGTTTACATTTGGTATCAGAAAGGTCTTAGGTCAAACTCTATTGGTTAGCTAAGAGAATCACATCATATATTAATTGACATCTGGCAGATCCAATTTGCTTTGGCTGGGCTTGACCCGAGGGGTAGGGTGTCAAAAGAGCAGGGCTCTCAGGAAAGTTGCGGCTTTTAACTTCCATTCATGAGGGCATGAACTTGCAGGAAAGTATGGTGGATTGTAAGTAACCAAAGAAAACAATTTGAAAGACAATCC